AATATCTCCTGGGGCATTTTCACAATTTGTTGTCCATTATTTTTTGATGTTGTGTAAAAATTGTCATCTTTTTATTTTATTGTCTCTAATCAACACAACAAAACAATATTCCCATGTAACTACATTGGAATATGATAGATGAGATTGTACAACTTTGTCAGAGACCTTTTGATTTTAGTAACTGGTTTTCCTTTGGTAAATAATGCTACAACATGCCTGAGCAGTACTCTTCTGGATCAAAGTTTGGCCTCAGGGGTTTAGCTTAAAATCAGGTCTTAAATAACTTGCTTTTCACTTGCATGTGTTTATTATTCAGACTGCAGAAAATAAACCTTGAGAAAAAAAATCTGAAGAAAACATCCAGAGTTGAAGCTAGATTATTTGTCTAATTTTCTCTCCTTGACATCTCCTGTCCTTTATCATGATGTTAATGTCAGTACAAATGTATTGTAAAGATGAAAAATAAACATCTTAAATGATCCCACAAAAACACAATTAAAGGACACTGCAGATTAAATTGAAAGTTTATGTTGTCACAAAAAGCAGCTTTTTACCGCCTCTTGTTTCTTTCGTCTACTTTCTATCGCCCCCATTATCCCGGCCGTGGTTGAAGGTAAATACAGGATGTGTGTGAGATCATTCAGAAAAGTGGTTTGGTGGTTGTACAATGATTTGTGCTCCTTAACAGAAATGTATAACAAAAACACAAAGGGGCATTGCTTGGTATGGAGTGATGCAAAGCAAGGTGTGAATTCCCAACTTGAAGTCTATGATGGATTTCCTTTCCCTGCTCTTTCTGCCCGTTTCCTGTCTAATTACTGTCAATTAAGTCCACTGGTGCCTCAAAATCACCTTATAGTTAGAAATAGACTGCAGTTAGTGCGGCTCCTTGGCATTAAACACCGGATTTTATGCACTTCTATTTCTGGCAGGACACCTGGAGAATTTGGGTTTGTAGATGTGTGTGTATGCGACTAAGCCCAAGCGTGTTCACACGTACATGATGTGTTAGACCACAGTCTGATTGGATTCTTCGCTACAGAAACATTAAAACCACATAGTGAAGAGTACATTTGTGAAGTTGCTTCACATTAGCTTAGGAGAACCCATATTTGTGTTTTTACACACACACTTATATACACATATGCAATAAATTATTAATGGATTTATACATAAGTGTTTGCTGTTTCCTTGTTTGACCTGAACAAGAATTTGATCAATTGCCCTTCAGTATGTGAATGAGCTGTGGCCTATCACACTATCCCATCTATTCGCTATCCATTGGTGTGTCAGGAAGAGGACAGATAGAAAGCTGTGACCCCAAGTTAAGCCAAAGGACCTATGGCAAAAGGTTAAGGTCTAGATGTAATTGGGTACAAATTAATGCAACCTATTTACAATCGCAATTATTTAAATGATCTACTGGATCTGCATAGCTGTGAGTCAGGAGACCAGCTGAAAAGCAAAGTGTGAGTCATTAGACTAAGCTTTTAATAATTGTTCTAAAAAATTTTAGACATGCGAAAAGCAATTCTGCAACTACTTAATATAATCAGATATTTAAAATGCATTTACTTATTTTTTTTCCCTCTATAATTTGTTTGACATTTTGCTGACCACACTCTTTGTTTGGAAGGCATTTATTATTCCTTACTGCACTACCTGTCTTGCTTGTATCAAATCAGCTTTCTGATTTGCGGATTAGGTCTCTTGCAATAGGAAAATGCATTTGTACATTGGCTGATAAATCTACCAACAGTAAGATCTTCTGGGTACCTGCAGGCAAAACTGATTTATTCACCCAAAACAAGACTAAAGGATTTAAGTAAAACTGTGTTATTGACATTTCCCCTTGCTCTTTTGTCTCTCTGCAGTAGAAAAATGCCAGATGAAAGAATGTTGCACACTACAGAAGTTTCTGCTCTTGAGATTTAAAACTAGGCTATGAGAAATGTTTTATCACCCTATCGCTCCAAATGCTAGAAACAAATGTTGGTCAATAAATTATTTCAATAGCACTTTTCATGTTTCATTGGACTGAAGATGGTTGAGAGGATTTTTTTTGTTTATGTATTTTTTATGATAACTTTTCAACATTGTACTCTGGGTTCTTTAAGAATATGATGTTATATTTCTATTGTGTTGAAAAATGTGTAATATCAACAGTTGTTTCAAAGAATGTTAGTATATTGTTCAAAATATATCAATCTGAATTCTGAAAGAAACTTTCTCTTTCTGTTTGTGCCTGATGTCTCAAACATGTATACAACAGTGTGTGAATCCTCAAGGACTTACCTTCGTATCTGAGATTCATAAGATATTAGAAATATTTCGCCGGACAAAGTAATGCTTGACAACAACTAGATGGTGCTTCATGAGTCCCTTTGGTGAGAAATATTTTTTCCAAAAGATCTCATTGCACCACTAAGAAAACAGATCTTTTCTTGGACTTCATGTGATAAACACTTACCTCTTTGTACTACTTGCTAGCTTCAGATAGCAACTGGTAGCTAGCTTGCTAGGTCATCCAATCTAATTGGCTTCAAGGTTCTCTGTCAGCATAGAATTTGAATTCATGTAATTTATTTTTAAGTGTTTGTTATTTTACAAATTATGCATCATATAAATCACCTGATTACTATTGGGATCAAAGATTAAGAAGATTCTATTCAGCTCCTTCGTAAGCTGTGTCCGAAGTCAGAGTCTACGTCCTTCGAAGGACATATTTGTAGGCCGATTACGTCATAGCGTGGCGACAAGGCCTGTCCGACTTCAAAGACTCCTTCAGCGGGGACAGTTGATGAAGGCTAGACCTGTCCGAATTCACAACTTTTCTCTTCCGGTCGACGTTCATTCGTGGTCTGTGAAGGACCCATCCTACGTAGACGTATCCTTCAAAGGATGCAGACCCTGAATTTGGACATATAGTGCAAGGCACTTGACAAAAAAGAAGTTAATATGAATCAATAATATGATTCCAGTTGATTCCCATCACACACTATAGTAAAGCTCTGTTAGTTATTCAAAGTGGTAAAAGAAAATTACAAACATTAAACATGTTTTAAGACTATGTATATTTTGTTTTTATGTATTTCAGATTTTCTTATATCAGTTTGACAATTATCAAACTACCTCATACTTACTTTTACTCTTAGAAAAATGGGAATAGTTTAATGCAAGCTGAAACTGTCAGAAATGTCTTTGATTGTTCCTACAATCCGCAAGACTGTAAAAACAATCTTGCTGATTGTTTCTACAGTGAACATGGTGCATTTCAGAACAGATTTTAGTCTCTTGTTGTTCAGCAGCCCAGTGGGAACAATGCTGTCGAGCTTCTTGACCACGCTTCACTGTTTTATAGCCAGCACTCCAACAGTCTCCTGTTAATGAAAAACTCTTTGAAGCAGAAAAAAAACAGGATTTGACCCAAGAAATGGTAAACTGTCACTAGCTGGGATATGATTATATTTTTATACACAAAATATATTTTAATATTTGAGGATTTTCTTAGACAATCCTCAGACAGGCTCACTCATCTAAATTACATAATTATTAAATTATAAAATTACTTTAATGTGAGTGGGGGGTGATTAGCATGATAAGCATTATAGCTAATCAGTACCGAGGAACAGAATTGCCTGTTATCATTATGAGTTCCAAGGTTTGAGCAGGTAAAGGATGAATATTGTGCAGTAGCTGCTCTAAAACACTTTTTGTTTAACCTGTTTGGGCGTAGAAAATGTCACTGTTTTCATGTGGCAAATGGAGAATATATGTTTTTTCCTGTAAAAGTGAAACATAGACAACTTCTTAAATTGAGAATAAAAAAGACAAGGATGAATATGCATTCTCCACCAGTATTTCTGTGCAAACATGCCAAAACGCTACTGGAGAAGGTCATGTAGTAAAGCCAACACCTGCTGCTGTGTCCCAGATTAGACATATTCTCATTTTTTTTCACACTAGATTTATTTTCAATCCCTTTGCTCTTTGCCTTTTCGTGACAGTATGTTTTCACTATATTGTTTGGTGAGTAATGGAGAAAGAGAAAACTTTATAGTTTTTAGAACAAATCTTTTGTGAGTTATAACAAGTGTTCTTTCATTGTGTCATTGTTTTATTTTTTTTAATGCTTATTCAATTGCTGAGTTGTTCATTCCTTACTGTTCCTTTTGTTCTATCAGACTTTAAGTGAGTAAGCTAAACGTTTTTGCTTTCCACTGAATTCCTCCTTTTATACATATTAGACTCAGAAGTTCATAAGCTAAAAAGAAACCCATCCAATTGCATTCTGCTCATTAAAGATGTGTGCTTTTATCCAGTCTGGGGAGACGACATGGTGTTGTATCCATAGCATTCCTGTGAAAAAATGCAATCAAATTTCAACATCTCACATTGTCTACATTTCCACATACATTAGAGCACATTAGTGCTAAGCATTAGAATCCTGCACACAAACACCACCCGATTGTGACATATGGTGGTGGCAGCATCCTGCCTTAAAGGCGCTTTGCAGAATAAAAAGTCTCCGATTGATGGAGTTCAAGGGAACATTGCTATAACAAAATAACAATTCTGAAAGAAACCTTTTACAGGTTTCAAAATGATTTCCTCTGTTAGCCGGACGATGACAATGAACATGATACTGCACTAACGGGGTGGAAGCACATTTATTTTGCAGGATGGTCCTGTTAAAGTCCAGAAATTGAACTAATTAAAGTTAAAAAATAACTTGAGTCTCTTATTTAAAATATGTTTGCTAAATACAGGCAGCAATCTAAAATGTGAGTGAACTAAATTCTTCTTTATAGGATGGGTTTTCATGCAGAAAATTGCATAGTTATGTGGTAAGTTGTGATATTCTAATTGTCAGAGTATAATTGTCACCTGTAAAGTTGTGGCTGATTGGTGTCTATGCATTAATTAAAAAGAAGCTACTTCATTATATTAAAAAGAATCGTATTAACTCTTTTCGTCTCCCTGTCCCATTCTTTGTTCAGATGAAAAGGCCTGCCCCTCCAAAGATTTCCAGTGCCGTAACGGAAAGTGCGTGGCACCCATCTTTGTCTGTGACGGTGACGACGACTGTGGGGACGCCAGCGACGAGGACAAGTGCTCTTCCCCCACCTGTGGCCAGCACGAGTTCCGTTGCAATGACTCTGAATGCATCCCCGCCCTGTGGAGCTGCGATGGCGACCCAGACTGCAAAGACAAGTCGGACGAGTCCATGGAGCGCTGCAGCCGCAGGACGGAGCCCCAGAAACCCGGCTGTCCGGGCGAGTTCCAATGCGGCAGTGGAGAGTGTGTTCACATGCACTGGAAGTGTGACGGCGATGCAGACTGCAAAGATAAATCCGATGAAGCAAACTGTCGTAAGTCAGCTGTGGCTGTATCAGTGTTTGTGTAGTTGGGAGTGATGAGTGGGTTGACAAATGAGTGCTGAACACCGCCGGATGATAAAAGGATGCTGATGTTGTCATTATAATTGCTATCAAACAATCTCTCACAGACCAAATTTATTCTACTAACAATTGTCTGTGTTGCCACAGGGTGATATAGTATTCCCCCAGGCACATCAGCAGACTGTGCTGTTCTGAGTGATTAGAAAAACTAATGAAATAGTTCCTCCACTAAGGGCTGACTTTATTACAACAAAGATCATAAAGTTTTTTTTCTGTAAAACTCTCCTTAAATTAATGCTCTATTTTCAGGAATAGTTTTTTGTTTTATTTTTAAGCATCTGAACTAATAATTACATAGGTCTTCATGCTAGTTCTAATGACAGATTATGCTATCCTAATGCTGATTTATGGTTAATTGATGTAATTTATCTGTCCTTTGCACAGCTTCTCTTTGAAGGTTGAGCTCATTGTTTTATGGATGTGATACCTGCTGTATAATTGTTCATGTGAGTCGCTTTCCTCCACTGGATGGCAACACACGAAAGGCTCACCTGCAATTTACTTTGAACAAAGACTTTGTGACAAATGAGCCACCAAACGACAGAAGGAAGATCACCGGTAACTGTATCGCCATGATCCTTGGGTGTGTTGCTACGCAACCATGTGATCTTCACAAGCTGGAGAAGAGTGCCACGTTTGACTCTATGTGTGTTCAGAGTGTGTGTGCGCATGTGTAAGTGGGAAGTGAGGGTCCTTCATCCAGCGAGACCCCCATCTGGTCTCCTCTTCACACTCCCACACACCACTCAGTGAGATCACAGCAGCTTCGCATGTGAGACATGATCTGAGCACAGCCACACTGTGATGAATGCTTCCACAAAACTCAGGCCAATCAAGGAGCTTAGAAACACAGATTTGTGGGTTTTTATGCACAAAATACCAGGTTAAATGTGGACCGGTGATGAACTTCTAGCCTTCCTCACACCAAACCATTTTGATCATATTGATTTGAAACTGTTGAAATCTGAACAGCTCCTAAATATTCTGAGCAGATAGCTGTGCCTCAATTGCAAATAAATAAAAAAAAACAAAGCATGAGGCTAAGAATAAACAAAATATGACAGACACATACAATAAGATATTGACTGATGACCCGAATTGCACAATTTTTAGATGGTCGGCTCTGTTAAGTGACCTCAAAATCGGATCTTTTTCCAAACAGTGAGCACATCATATTTAAACACTACCAAATAGAGAGGACAGAACACTTTTTCAACATGGACATGTTTACTAAGCTCAAATGTCAGTAAAGTGTTTGAAAATGAAGCCAGATATTAAAAAGCAATTTATAAGGAGACAGGATTCCAATGGTTCATTCACCTGTGTCAGACTGTGAAACAGGAAGTTTCATTTTATAGGAAGGTTTGATGCAGAACAGAAAAAGTTTTGTGTTTTTATTCTCTTGAGCTTTCAACCTCTGTCCTTCATGGAACATGATGAAAATTGTAATAATGAAATCAGAGTGTTGAGATAAAGGTTTACATTTTATTGAGAAAATAATACTGTACTAACTGCGTGAGGCTAAAGTTTGTTTTGGATGTTATAACTCATTTGCCTGAAATCTACCACATCTCAGTAATGTACAAGTTACTTTGATATAACTTGTACATCTCAGTTGCTGTTAGGTGATGAAAAGTTTCGATTAAATTTAATCTGCCTTATTTTGTCCCACCTGTTTTAGCGCATACACACTCAAAAAAAACAAAACATAAAATCCAAATTCCACTTTGACATCACTAGTTTGGCTCTAAATGTGAATCAGATGGTTCCAGAGTTAATACCTTATCTGATGTATCACAAAGACATCAGGTATCTTTCCTCTCCATACAAATATGTGGTTTAAAAGGAAAAGGTAAAGAGACAAATGTTGATCCATATATGTGGTGAAGTTGCTACAGTTTACTAAGTTGGCTAACCATTCTTCATTGTAATGCTTCACTTAATCTCATCAGGACATAAGGCTAACAAGGTCTACATTTTCTATTGTAATAGCAATGACTAGACAACCTAAAATATCTAGAGACAGATGTCCAAAGACCACCATTAAGTTGGACATTACTCCTAAAAAAGCCATTTTGATCTATATTCTATTAAAATGTAAACTACTATCTGAACTGTGAAATTCATCCTGTGTTGGTATCCTTTCAAAATCTCAGAGTCCTGTTTGCTGTACTCTGTCTAAACTTCCTGTTACCTGCTGAAAGTCTCGCTCTCTCTCACTGGCCCACTGGATGAACCAGACATTTCTCAACATGTCCTCGAAAACAGTTTTCTTTCAAATAGTGTATTAAATCTCATTGATACTGACAGAAGCTAATGTGTCTTTTTCCCTGAGCAATGGTGTCTGGACAAGAGAGTTTAATCTGGTAGTGTTTATTAATCTGTTTTTATGGATAAGAAATGGATGGACTTCCATTCAGACAGGAGCTGGTCAGTCCTTAACAAGTGAAAAAGTCATAATTCTATTATATTCTTATCTCCCAATTTGTTGTTTTACAAAAAAAAAAAAAAAGAAAAGCATATTTGTTTTTTTAATTAATCCTGATTAGGCTGTCCCAGCATTTAACTTGTGACTCTATGTCCTCATTTTTGTTAGAAACAGAACGTGTATAATTAACCTGTGGCTTTTAATTAAGCAGCAAATATGTTGACTCTCAAAAGCTGTTTGAATCACTAATGAAAATGCACTGAAGTTGAAAAGTTGTTTTAAAGTTTATTTTTTTCAGGTCTAATGCTGCCATGAAAGAGTTAAAGCTTTAAAATTAAAATAAAAACAATTTGGTTTGGACTTGATTTTATTAATTATATAACACTGAAAAATGTTTAACAAAACAATCCGAATGCAATAATTGGCTTTGCATAATTGGCAAGCTCACTTATGCTAATTAAGAAGGTTCAACATCCTTGCATAGATGATGATGGATAAGGTCTGGTTATGTTATATGCATTGAAATCTGTTTGCCTGCTCATTCCATGAAGAATAAATGTGGGTGGTTGGAGCTTTATGTAGAACAAGATGTAATGGTTTTGGTTTCTGTGTAATGTAAATGAGACTGTGGAGCAGTTAAGGGAGGTGCCACATTTCAAAGTAAATCAGAGATCTAAGAGTCTCAGTGGGTAATCTACATTGGCTCCTCCACCTCTCTGGGAATGATGATTCCCAACCCCCATTTTTTTTTTTTTTTTTTTTTGTCAATAAATTTTGGAGGGTTAGTTCGGAGACGTCCTGACACAAGTCCCTGTCAAAAGGCTGCGAGGAGGTTAATGTAAATGAGAAATAGTCGCGAGTTGATATTCTGTGCTGCCAGCACTTCCACAGATGCCAATCCGTTATCATTACTATTCATCCTTAAGAATTATCATAATTAGCTGAGCTCAGATCTTAATGATTTGGCTGAGAGAATCAGCACATTTTTGATGGAGCAGGATTATCTCTTGCACTTTGTGCTTGTTTAGGATTAACATTTAGGTTTGTCTTGAATTTTTATTTCGGCAGTTTAAGTCAGTGTGCCCTTTCTACTCACATGAAGTATGCAGACACCTATTTTATTTGCTTTATCTGAATGTGTAATTAAATGCCTAAATACCAACTTTTTTGTGTGTAACCTACGTGTGTCCATGATTTATGCCATGTTTGCAGTTACAGTCATTGCAGGTCGCTAATTTCTGTAGACTCTACAGTTATTGATCATGTCTGCCCCCTTGCTTCGGGAGAGCTGGTCCAAAACACAGCGCATGAATAATTAAAAAGCCAGTTAAAAAGATGAATGAGGGGAATAAACCCTCCTTCCGTTGTTAAAGCAAGACAAAACAAATGTCTGTATTAGCACATTGAAGCACAACCACTCCCTTCTTTCTGTTTGTGTTGTCAGGATATATGTGTGCAGATAAGGCTCGGAAGATTGATTCATTTTAGATGTGCAAACCATGACATTTAATAGAAAATAAGGGAGATCCTCAACAAGCTCTCAATTTTAAAATCATTTTTGCAGTAAAAATGTTAACATTCAGCTAATTGCTCCTTGTGTTGTGCTTGTGCCCCTCAGCGCTGCTTACATGTCGACCTGATGAGTTCCAGTGTGGCGACGGCTCTTGTATCCATGGCACCAAACAGTGTAATAAAGTCCACGACTGCCCGGATTACAGCGATGAGGCTGGCTGTGTAAATGGTAACTTATCACATGTGTACTACTTCTTAATCGGGCAGTGAAATGTTTGCTTTAAAATCTAAATTACGCCGTTTTTTTTTTTTTATTATCTGTAGCCAAACACAAATGTAATCTCGAATGCAAGGATTTAGTGATCAAAATAACTCAAAGTAACATGGAAGAAAGATTATATATGGTTGTCACAGAGATTACAGAATAAATGTGGAAACAGTTCCTTTAGTGAAACAGGACCATAATTAAATATGTGACAACTGGGAAAAGAAGTTTAGAAAGTTGCCAATTCAGTTGAGAAATTATTTACAGTCACATGTAAATGTGACCTTGATTAAAGCACTCAATACTAAATACATATTTTACATTTTGTTCATTTTTCTGATTCCAGCTGAGTGAATGTGACTCTACTGTAATAGCACTTTGAGTGGTTGTTATGACTACAAAACTGTTAGACAAATATAGTTCATTAAAATTTTTGAAAATAAAAATATAAAGTAAACCCCTTTCTTTTCATTTTCTTTCCAGTTACGAAGTGTGACGGACCAAAAAAGTTCCGCTGTAAGAATGGAGAGTGTATCGACAGCAGCAAGGTGTGCGACAATGTAAAAGACTGCAAAGACTGGTCTGACGAGCCAGTGAAAGAGTGTGGTAAGATCATCTCACTTCGAACACACAAAACCCTGAGATATTCGAAGGCTTATCAGTCTTCACCACCTCAGATGTGCCAGGGTGATATACCTGCAAATGTATGAGCAGTATAAATTGTGTGGGTGGTCTCGTGGAAACAGGAGATTCATTCGATCAAGGCTGGATAAATTAGGACACTTCTCAGCTGTGTGTCGTGATCAAAGAACTGAGAGGCCCAGCTCTCTCTTACCGCAATCTTGAGCAGGAAAACGTGACTGCACTACATTATCTATATGGAGTCATGCAGATTGTCACTTTGTCACACATAATTACCACATCTTGATCTCTAATCATACATTTCTAATTAGATGCAAAACAAACAGAGAAGGACAGATGGAACATCCAACTTCATAATGAGATCAATAAAGTTTGTTTTTTTTATTAAAAAAAAAAAACGTAAGGAACCTCCTGTAATTTCAGATGAAGTTATTTGCATCATATTGGTAAGTATTGTCTTGGAGTGCTTAAAAAAAGTGTCCTAAGTTTCTCAGGAATCTGCACTATTCCATGTTTTCTCTGAAGTGGAGTACATCATCATTTTACTGGAAGTGAATAGAACATTTTATAAGGGCAGGTTGTCCTTCAAAGTCACTCTCATCTGTAAGGAGATGTGTATATGTTGTTAATATATTACCCAATGATTTTGGCATTTTTATTACATACAGCTTATTTTCATAACAAAATAATAATTTGAATAATTTCAAGTTTTTACAGGACTGTTTTTATTTCTGTTTAATTTTTGTTGAAATGGCCTTCAGAGCTAAATCCGAGAAATAATTTGTCGGTTTATTACAAAACTCATCCTAAACATCCACAGAACTCTCTGTGAAGTTATTGTACTGCTAAACCTTTTTGTACTTTTATTCAGATAATGCCTCTCACCTTTTAAAAGCATTTTCAACTAGGAAATGATAGCATGTATGTTCTTACCAATTAAAAGGTTAAAAATTATTTTCAATTGGAATGTTATCGGATCAAGACATTAAGACATCTTTAATCAACCGATGCTGGAGGTTTTGGTAAGTTGTGACCTGGATGTGCCGTGATCTTTATTTGAGCCATAAACACATTACCCAGCCAGCCAGCCATATTACTTTCTTGATTTAGCAAATCTGTATTTTTCTCAGAAATCTGAGTGGTTTGGTCGGATTGCCAACATGCAGGCAGGAAATTCCCGCTGCTTTCTTAAACTATTTATCCTTGTGTTGGCGTATCAAATGAAGACTACCTTGCAAAAATTTTGACCCGAAGAAGGCATTATATCCTTTTCCAGCTCAAGACCATGGCCTCGGATTTGGAGGCACTGATCCTCCTTTATAAATCCTAAATATGGAAAATAAAAAACCTGCAAAATATGCTAAAATATATTGTTAGATGTTGTCAGAACACATGTCCAGTGGCACCTGTGAATCTTGTGAATTTCTCAAACAAATGGTCTTGCGTTGCAATTTTCTAGTTTTGCAGCATTTTGCACGACACTTTTCCTCTCTTTCATGAGATTTTTTTTTTAACAATGACCTTTTATGGCTTATCCTTCCCCCCTCCTGGGTGTGCCAATATTTTTGTACAAGGCAAGTATGAATCCAAGAATCCTACCCCTGATCGTGTGAGTCATAAAATGTCCATAATTCATCACAAAAATATTTTTCAATTGGGTTTTGCTTTGCAGTTCCAATAATTATAAGCCAAAATGTATTATAAGTAGATTATTGAAACATATCAGTTTATGTTTAATGAAATTCTTTAATATTTTTCACTTTCTGAATTGGATTACTGAAAGAAATAACAATTCAGTGATATAATTTATTAATCTTCACCTTCATGAATGAAATTAACAAAACAATAGTGTTAACAAAACCGACAGATGTATTTTTTGTGCATTTATTTCAGACTAATTATGACTTTAATTTCACCTGTAGACAATTCTAACCAAGTTTCAGTCTTTCTTAGCTTCTTTTATCTCTCTGGCTCACTCAAAGTCTCTGTCCCTCAGCTGTAGCTGTAGCCTTAAGCCTAAATCTTTAATGTAAATCTGTAATGAAGTACTAGCTTCAGCTCTGCAGTGATCTCTCTTGGTTCCCTGGAGGGTGATTGAAAGACAAAGGGACATAAGCGGCGGTGCAGAAACAGACATAAAACGGTTTGGAAAGAAAATGGGGAGAATCCAATCAGGTCTTCTTGTAGACAAAAAGAGGAAGAAATGGACAAAAAGAAATGTGGAGGTGCTTGTCTCAACAGCCTATTAAAGTGAAGTGCTACCTGGTTAAGAATGGGTTCTTTAACTGTGGAAACTGTACTGCCCAGCTATGAACAGGCTAATAATTGAAGCATACACAATTTGTCTATGTCTTTTAAGCTTACTGGCCTTCTGAATAGAAATTCTGATGTATACAGGCACATTTGACAGGGTAGAATTATCTTGACTGGCAGGTTTATTAAAACTATTCACACACACCATCTGGGCCGCTTTGTCTTTCTGTCCAGCATTTTCTTTGTGTGCTTTGCAGCCTGAATTATTCTGCCCAAAAAATCTACTGGAGTTATTTCATCAATATTCAGCTGCTCCTCACTTCCCTCTGTTCTTCCGCTCACTTGTCTGTCCTTTTCCTCCATCCCTCCCACCCCGCCGTTCCTCTCTCCGCAGGCCTGAACGAGTGTGCAGACAACAATGGCGGGTGCTCCCACATCTGCAGAGACCGGAGAATTGGTTATGAGTGTGACTGCCCCTCCGGGTACAAACTCCTGGACAAAAAGACTTGTGGAGGTAAAGAAAATAGTTTATGCAGAATAATGCTGTTTTAATGGTGTAACCCTGGGTGCCCGTCTGAGCTCATCCAGTCAAAATATCATCTAAACCTTTTTAGACCGTTTTTCCATTCCTCCTTTTTTTCTTTAAAAATTCAAATTGCTAGTCTATCGTAACCCTTTGATTCTCTGTCGAGAAACCCAACCTGAATCATACCTCTCCTCATATTCCAATAAAACATGCATACTCTAAAAAGCATTTTAACTAATCATACAGTATTTTTCAAAATACACAAGCTAGCAGCTGGAACAAATCAAACTGAACCATTTAATAATATTTCAGGCTTTTTCTCTAAATTAACATACCAAATGCTGTTTTTAATGACTGCAGCCTCAGAATTTGTCGACCCCTTTATGACGAGCATTTTTAATATTTAGGAAAGCATTGTTTTGCTGTAATAACCAACTATAAATTCTGCTCACACAAAATTCATATTGGCTTTGTTGTTTGCAATAGAGTTTGTCAAATTTCACCATGGATTGGGAATAGATTTAACATTATCTGACTGCAATATCTTCCAGGAGTTCTTCTTCAAAGCAGGGCTGCTGCTTCTCCTCATTAAAGGGAGTCAGTTGAGATGGTTTTAGCATCTCATTGGGATTCCCCTCAGTGCCTTCTCTGACACCCAGAAGTCACTGAAGGGATAATATATCCAATCGTACCTGGAAACACCTTGGGATCCCCAATATTGAGCTACAGAATGTCGCTTGGGAGAAGAACATGTGACTTCCCTCTCCATCTTCTTGCCCCTGAAACCTGATTTTAGATATATGGAAAAACAATAGCTGGGGTGAATAATTTTCAGCATATTAAAGGATGTTTTGTTAATAAAGACTGGCATTTTCCCAAAACAAAATTGAAGTTTTTTTTTTTTCTTTGCTGACTGAAAACAAACATGAAAGGCAAACTCAAAATTTCTGTTGACTTGTGCTGGGGCACTTTCAACTCGATGATCTTGTATAGCAATGTCATTGAGCAGAGCAGATAGAGTGGTGCACGAGAAGGAGGAAGGACAAAGCATCAGGAGGCACAGATGGGCAAAACTATGAGCTCTGGGAATTCTCCTGTACAAGCAGAGATGCAACTGATTTATTTGTTTTTTCTCTGCCTCATCAAAATGATTCTGGTCTTATGGGAAGCTTCACAGCTGCTCACAACAGAGGAATGAAATTACTCTCCTTTTCAGTCTATTGTTTCCTTTTGCAGCCAAACGTTTGTCTTGTTTCTTACGAAACATATTTTGAAACTATTACGATGATAGTCTCTGATTGGTGATCAGCAGGTTAAGTAAAGATTTTTTTTTATTATTCTTTGCATTCAGAATTGGAAGTCAGACTTCAAGCAAAATCTAAAATTAGTATTGATTAGGAAAAGCATAATCTGTGAATCCAATAATTTCCTTACCCTTTCTAAATAAGCAATATCCTGAAAACATTACATTGTCTGTAGCTTGTTTATATATATATATATATATATATATAATTATTTTTATTTATTTTTTTTACATCAATTTACATTCTCTTTATGTTCCTCTTTCCATAGACATAGATGAGTGTGAGAACCCAGATGCCTGCAGTCAGATCTGCATCAATTACAAAGGGGATTATAAATGTGAGTGCTATGAAGGCTACGAGATGGACCCTGCCTCAAAGACCTGCAAAGCTGTGGGTAAGCCAGTTATTCACTTGGGAGAAGGCATACAGACTGCCACAGATTGATGTTCTCACCAAAACCCATTCATGATCCCATATATACTTGAGCAAATTCACACATCAACACTCACCCTTGTATAAACACCAATTACTCATCCATTCCAGCACCCCTAACTACAATGTGACATCCTACACCGTTCTCACTCAGCGGGACTCTGAAAAGAGAGGCTTGTTTCGTATGCAGGGCCCGCACAGCAATCTGTTCAAAGATAAATATTTGCCATCCTTTTCTTTAGTCCACGATAATGGCAAGTTCGCAGCCAGCCGCCTCTGCTTTCCCTGGGGTGTCAGGAGAAGGATGTTGTGTGGGTAAGGGGTCTGCACTCACTGCAGGACACAGGCAGGGTCTGTAACCCTTATTTGCTGGCAAGATCTCTCTGAGCAGCATTATGAATAAAAAATATAATCCTATGCTCTGGAGTGGGCTGGACAATGAGAAGGATGCATTTCTTTATCATGAAGTAAAAATGCTGTGGAGTTGTTCCCAATAGGTGAGTACTGAACCAGTTCAGTCACTTCTAAACCCCATAACTTTAGAAACACACTTCTATTTTTTCAAAATAAAAGTTTGATGAACTGAACATTTAGATATTCACGGTTTATCTTTGAACATGAATCCTGATTAAGATTTCTAATGAGATAAATAATACATATAAATTGATGAGAATCTAGATACTTGTTGACTAAAGTGTATTGAACAGGAGATTAGATTTAAGGTCTATGTGTTTCAAACAAAAAAGTGTGTGCACTGAATATATCAGCAGCAATGCTGTTCTATTGCCAAACTTGGGGGCATGCATTCAAATAGACAAAGTTATAGCAGACGGACATGAAGTAAGTGACATGTAAATAGAAATGTACTGATCAGATCTGTTGCGGTGTTGATACCCTTTCTGAAATAGTACTCTCCATGTAGATTTCCAAATCTACTTTTCGTTATTTAAACTGGTTTAAAGCTCAAAAAAATAAACCAGAACAACTTTACTTTACTTAGTTATCTGATGAAAGGCTGACCCTCCCTAACTCATCCGAATAATGAACTGTGGTCATGTGCTGACATGTGATAGTAAATGTTATTATTATATTGAATATATTGGTACATTTTTATTTAGGATTGTGCTGAAACATCTCTTTTAACACAGCCAGCTTAACAACGCATGAATGAATAAGCAGTCTAGCAAGTTTATGCCTCTGTAAAGCAAAGGTAATATACTCTATGCGTATTATATTAGACCAAGAAAAAAATGTTTATTTGTAAGTTCTAGTATATGATTATGTGAAAAATGGCTGTTCATGTTAAACACTTGACCACTCTATCATATGTTGTAATTTGGTTTGTTGGTTAAAACATTGCTGTGAAGCAATTGTGGTACTGAGGACCTCTACCATTTTTGGTCAGTTCATGATTGCTGCAAGAAAGTCAAGACATTTTTCAACACCTCTACCTAAAATACTTGTTTTATTTTACTAAAGATGTGTTTTGTACAGTCATACGTCCAGAAGAATGAAAGAAAGTCGGAATTTGCATATTTCTGATCAGTACCTTTGAAATGACTTACACAGCAAATTAACTTTTCAACATGAAATGAGGGAGAAAGCATGTTATTGGTAATTATTGTCTTAGTTTAAGTCATTATAGGGAAATCTGGTCTGGTAATGAGAGTGCTTAAAGCAGAAAACATATCCTCACTCTGAAGCTAAGTGGCATAAAAACCCCCATTGATTGCTCAGTGTCTCTCTGTGTGAATCTTTATTACTGTTAGGCAGAGCAAACAGCTCTTGTTAGAGTCAAAGCTCTATAGTGCCAGACAGCAAAAAAAGATGGATGGACAAATGATTTCCATAAATATTTCTGTGCTCAATAAACACTATGTTCCGAAGGAGACAAGAAGAGCGAGAGTCTAAAATATGACTGAATTATTGTTGATTGTTCTTCACGTTAATTCCTGTTCAAAGGAAAGCACAGAAGCGGGACAGTAAATACAGAAATGCCATCTCCGTGAAGCTGAAGTAATGAGGATTTAATGAAGCTCCATTTGTCCGTCAAATCATTCCTAGATGCTCGCCCTCAGAAATCAGCATATATATTGCATTTAGTTTCTTCAGACACTTACTTTAAAGAGACAGATCATAATTCGTACACAAATAAAAGTCCCTTGTGATGGAGCAGTATTACACACTGTGATTTCATATGATGTGAGCCAAGTTCCAGGAAGTTTGAATTTGGGATGCATAAATTCATTTTAAATAGTTCTTAAAATCCAAATAAATCTCCAACTCTGTGTGTGTTCTTTTATGCAAATCCCAGCATGCAGTTTATGGCTCCCCAGATTAATTTCACAGTAACTGTTAGTCTAGCAATACTAATTAAAAGCAAAGTCTCAGGTCAGAGTCATTATGTGCTTTCTACTCTAAACCGGTATGTGTGCTTGGGAGCAATAATTTTGATACATAACAGCGCCCATTAAGTCCCCTGAGCAAAGTTTTATTTCTCACTTATTGCATTCAGTGTTTTTCCATAGACTTTGAGTGTGCAGCCACTGAACGACTCAACAACTTGGGTTAAACTATGTGTTTGTGGGTATGCATGCGTGTGTGCGTGTGTGTATGTATGTATGTGTGTTAACAAGAGAATAAGAAAGGATGAAGAGAAGTAAACAGAAATCTCTTGTTTGATTATCTGTTGAAAATGTATTAGTTATGAATGAGAAAAATACTGCAAGGTGAAAATCTGTTATTTTGTAGATTTCTTTTATGCTTTAACAATCTTGAGTATTTATACACAAGTGAACGAAAGATTTTGAGAGCAAGGGCATGACATTACAAAAGCCTCAGTAACAGCACAGTAAAAAAACCAGAACAGGTTGTTGCAACGTTGCAGAAACCAATCTGTGAACTGTCTGTGGACCAAACAAACCTACTTATTTTATCTTTTTCTGTGGCGTACTGGGAGCGTTACCACAGCGCGAGGAGCAGCGTAAGCCACACTTGACAGTTTGAGAACACACTTTTCAAATTGGGTTTAAAGCTGTGGTCAGGTTATTCCCAGGTGGCTCATGGGACCAAAGATACAGCCCTCATCCCTGTTGTGTGTACGTACGAGTGTTGTCAAACTCGTTTCACAGTTTTTCATCTTTCAGTGGTTTTGAAGATACGATTTTTTTTTGTCTGCAAAATACTATACATTGTTAATTCTGAAAACTTTTTCTATCCATAACATCCAAATGATGTTTTGGACTTTCAAGATTTAACTGTAGCCATGTGATGTTCATATTTTCTGTTTATAGAACCAAACACCTTGAAATAATGCACATGCAGAAATTGCATCTGTGTATGCAGCTGTTTCGGTTGCCACATTGCACAGTTTTTTAAATGGATAACTTTTCTTCATGAGCATAAAATCATTTTTCAAATTATTATTTTATTACCTTTGGAGAGATGCCTGTCTGCATAGTGGCACAGTTGGTAGAACTGTTGCCTTTCAAGAAAAAGGTGCTGGGTTCGAATCCCAGTCTGGGATCTTTTTGCATGGTGCTTGCATGTTCTCCCTGTGGGTTCTCTCCAAGTTCTCTGGCTCCCACGATCCAAACACATCACTGTTAGGTTAATTGGTGTGTATAAATTCTCCTGAGGCATGAGTGTGTGTGTGCATGGTTGTTTGCTCTGTTTGTTTCAATCTTGCCCTGCCTCTTACCTGAAATGTCTCACTGAAGATTGATGCCCGAGTGGGGCACTATCCCACTAGGAACAAGGGTGTAAGTGGATGGATGGATGGATGGATGGATGGATGGATGGATGGATGGATGGATGGATGGATGGATGGATGGATGGATGGATGATGGATGATGGATGGATGGATGGATGGATGGATGGATGGATGGATGGATGGATGGATGGATGGATGGATGGATGGGATGCCTTTCTAATGCTATCAAAAATTAAAGTTTTTATTTAAAAGTTATTTGAAATCTAAATTTCCCAGGGATATGATTTTATTACCTTTTGAGATAAAATCATATCTGGAGATATAATTATATGCGTTTTGGCATATAAAAATGCACCAGAGGACACACAAAAAAATATCATATTTTCTTACATATTCTTTCTCTCTTTGACTCAACTCATTGTACACTTTGTTTTCCCCTCTACCCACCTGACTGTTGATTTCTCTCTGAACTCATCCCACCTTCACTCTCCCAATTACATCCCCTTACTCCTCAAACCTCCATGACAACACATTCATCCATCACTTTCAATTGTTCCTGTTCGTTTCTTCCTCCGTATCTATCTCTGTCTCTCTCTCAGCGGGCGAAATTGATGGTTACCAACCTACTAGTCAGAGGAAAATGATTGCATCCAAACAGTGGTAGAAATGTAATATGTTCTCCCTGTGAAGTAGCGTGTGGTAAGCCTTGGAATAAAACTAAAGCGTGGCTCTGTGTGGATGTTTGTGCATGAGTATGCCTGTTTTATAATTTTTTTAAAGGTTTTAAGTGGCACTTTTGCTTCTCTGGATAGGGGGAAGCTTGAGAAATAGATGTGTAAAATCAATGAGTTGATAAAGGACGCTAGAAAGATGAGCCTAAAAATTAAGGATAAAAAGAGAGTGTATGATTTGTATTTTCACTGAGAAAAGCTGTTAGTACACCTATAATTGTTTACAATCTCCCATATCTTCAAGTTTGGAAATCTACCTTTGGTAACTCATAAAATAATTTTCAAATTTTTGTTCACTGAACATGAGGTCTTTTTGTTATGCTTACTTTTAGTCTGCTGAAAAATGTGCATTAGGGGAACTGGTGTACCAGCTAACAACTTGAATTATGTGGACCTGAAGAAAAGAGCCCAATATCACACTTGACACATGGCTGTACCAAAAATAAAATGATGTGTCATGTCTGTGCTGTTGGTGTACTTTAGCCTGAGGCCTATTTTGTCTCATTGTTTCATATAGCAGCAGGTCACCTGCAGATAAGCCAAGCATCATAGTACAGCAATCAATTTTCTTCTTTACATGGCGGAAAATGTTATGGTACACTGGGAACTAGAAATATTTAATTTAATTAGTCCATTTATGATAACATGAACCTCCTCCCTGCTCTTTAGGAAAGAGCCCTTGCCTGATGTTTACTAATCGTCACGAAATTCGTCGGATTGACCTGCTGAAGAGTGAGTACACACAGGTGGTTCCCACCCTGAAGAATGCTGTGGCCCTGGATGTGGACGTCTCCACTAACAAGATGTTCTGGTGTGATCTGTATCATCGCAAAATATACAGGTACACACAAAAATGTGCACTCAGTCATTGTTGATTTTGGATATGAGATATGGGCGGTTTCCCAGGGCATCATTAGCAGAATATCGGCTCCCTGTGCAGATAATCTGTTTTCAGACTGTGCCTCCGAAATAATATGCTGGATTTTGATTGGCTTCAGAAGGTGCGGCTGTGTTGTCAGTGAATCACTGATTTTAGTCCATCTTTACAAACTGTGATCGTTTCTATTGATGGTTGTATCATGAAAGCAGCCATGAAGAGAATAAAATATAAAGTAGTGAAAGGAAAACATCATGACCTAGCCAACCTGTTGCTAGTTGTTAAATTTATGTTTATGGCACCTTTAGTTACAATTGCTGAGAGTCTGAATAAGAAGAAGTTGAATGACAACACAAAAACAACATTTTTGCTTGGTGAAATTTGTTGAGTTTGTCGTTATTATTGCATTTTGAAGACAAATTAATCACTAAATGATAGTTGGTTCTTCTATAAAACAGAAAATGGGGGCAAGAAACAAGGTGCACATCTAAGGCACCATTGGACCTCGACTAGCTCTCTCTGCATACTTCACCGTGTATGTCACATCCTGCGACTTCATCTATCTGTCTTGTCTGTTTCAACCTGTCACACCTTCTGCTGGGAAGCTGACACACCTGGAGGGTTGTGTCATCTGCCTGATAGAGGAAGGTGGAGCTGTTTGTCCTTCCTGACACACAAGTGCACACGCGTTCCCACACAGCTACACATACTTTGTGTGCATAGTTGCTTTGTGTGCAGTTGTTAGTTGGTGTAAGTTTGATAGTTGGCAGGTATATGGAGGGGTCTTCTATCATCTCAGCTGAGCCATATGCTTCCTTTAATTTCACTGCCTCAATAATCACCATCATTACTCATCTGTATGCACACATACACATACGCTCTCATCAGCTCTGTGATACACTAAAGGACTTGTGACAGAGGAAGGACAAATTAACTCATTCTTTACAGCAGACTCTATTTTCAAAGCGGTAAATAATGCATCAAACTCATGCATTGGCCTGAAAGGTCCTCAGCTAATGAAGTTGTGGAGTTTAACTTGGCCTTGTTCAAGCTTCTCTTTAAGTCTGCCTCATCCTTTCAAAACAAAATGTTTCACAGCTTGCACTAGGAAGGTCTGAGCCTCATCTTTAGCATCGAGTTTGCATCCTGAAGAAAGTTTCTTGTTGTTCTAGTTAGACTGGAGCCATGTCAGAGAGGACTTTCTACTTTATGCTAGCTGTGTTGTAGTCCAAATTACTTTCTAGAAAACAATACTAGTTTCTGAGTTGTCACTTTTATAGTTAAAACATTTTAAAATGAGGTATTCTGCAGTCTTGAATCTTGTTAAATTATTTACAGCATAAAATGAAAAAGAAAATAAATTATGGTTAAATATTTATATTTCCTAAATTTATTCCGTATCCCATTGTCTACTCAATCATCCATACATGCATACAATTTGTCCATCTCTTTCTTCTGTTATTCTAACTTTTATCCAAATAAGAAACCAAAGTCAGAAAATAATGCATGTTGTTACTTTAAATAATTTAAATATTCATGCTAAAAATATATAAATATTTTAACACTAATGAACTCTGAGCATTCAGGAAAACCTTTCTATTCCTTTTGAGGGTTTTTTTAATGCCTTGGGAAGCATGTGCTGCTTCTCCCCATCACAGTGATGCGGTTTTCCAGACTTTTTCCATGCTGATTAGCATTCTGTGGGTCAATGTCTTGTTAACGTCCCCCAGTAATAGAGATGTTGCAAACAATTGTATGGCCAATTAAAGATGCAATCTGCTCTGAGTTCTTAATTTATTGCTTGTTTACTATGCTCTGCAGTTTGTAGTAACTATTTATGCACTCACCCTGTTTTCATGCAGTGTAAAACTGAAATGTAAATGTCCAAATGGATATTTATTAGACTTTTAGAGCCCCATAGTCTAAACCTAAGTTTCAAATCCGAGACAGTCCAACACTACCTGTAGAGATTTCATCCTCCTCCATATTGCTCCAATTTAACCCCAGAGGAACAAATTCTGTTCATATTTTTGTTTGACATCCTTTAGCATAAAATAATAATAAAAAAGAAACCTTAGATTATCTGTCAAAGTAATGTGGGATAAGCCTCTACCGTCCCTACCATATACAAAAAAAGAGTTGGCAAACTGTGATATAGTCAATTACCTAGGCAATCTGCTTCCAAATCCTATTCTCATTCGTCTCTGCCTGATCTTTCACTCCAATTATCCCACCAGCTTTCTCTTTTAGTTAAGATGCTCATCCCACCCAAAAATCTCCTCCTGGTGCCCCTTTGGAAATGTTCCCAAGCAGAAATTGAATTGGAGTGTGTAGTCTTTTACAGCTATTTCTTAAGAATGAGCTGATTTGTTTGTCTTACCAGGTTTCCATGGTGAAGAAATAAAACAGGACAAAAAACATTTTTTTTACATTTTCTACTAGATGGAGGCAAATCTCATCTTTCTGTTTGGAGAAGGTCTCACACAGAAGTCCACATATACACAAAAGTTATATTTTTTAAATGTCACAGATATACAGTATACTCTTAGGCATTGCATTTTTTGGCATGTGCTCTACCAGCATTGCACATGCAGAGAACAAAATATTTGTATTTCTTTTGTTGCAAAATATCTCGAGGTGAGTTAAAGTGGATGAAACGCTTCCATAGACAGTAATTTTCAGGTTTTTCCACAAATTGTCAATTGGATTATTGCCTGGGCTTCGACCTGGCTGTTCTAACTCATGAATATGCAATGATCTACGCTTTGGCTGTAGATCACCTTCAATATCTGTGACAACCATTAGTTTTTTTAAGCATCTAGCAAGTTTTTTACATTGTATATAGCTCCTTGTACCTTCCCATCAACTCTGATTTTCTCAGAACTCCACTGAACTCTACTGTTTCTTGGGCTACATAAGTGCTGTTGGTTCTCTAGTGCTTTAAAACAAACTTCTGAAGCCATCACAGATTGTGCAGACTTTAAATTACACACAAGGTATACTGTTTTTATGTAAAATTGGATTTTAATTAGGCATATCTAAAGTATTGGGGGCTGATTCTTTGGGGCATGAAAACTTTTTCAAGGCTATTTATTCGCTGATGTTTACATTAGATGTGCTTTACTCAGCTTTTATCTTCTGTCCTACAGTGCATACATCAATAAGGCCAGCGACTCTTCGCAGCAGGTGACGTTGGTCGACTCACTCCACTCGCCGGAGGGCCTGGCTGTGGATTGGGTCCATAAAAACATCTACTGGACAGACTCTGGCAATAAGAGCATTTCTGTTGCAACGGGAGATGGCAGGAAGAGGAAAGTGCTAATAGCCACCGAGCTCAGTGAGCCACGGGCCATTGCAGTGGATCCTCACCAAGGGTGAGAGGAAAGTTTTATACTTCAGCAAGTTTTGGACAGGAGTTAAGTGGAATGGCCTGAAGGAAAGAACAAAAGTCCAAAAGTTCTTAGTTTTGATCATTCTGTGTGGACACCAGTTCCATTATGAAACTAATAGAAACTTCTGTTTTCAGGTTGGTCTGAAACATTTTTCCATAGTGTAGCAGTTATTTTTTTTAAAACTGATCTATACGGTGTATTGTGCAGTTTTATAATTTTCTGGAAAGAGACAATCAGAGTCTTTGTCTTCCTTTTCTACCACTTTCACCTTGAGCTCCCAAAAGAAACATTTTCACAGCTTTTCAGATTTTGGCAAGGCAACTGAAGCCAGAACTTTACATGTTGACATGCTTAATTAAAATAGCCCAAACTTCAGTAACTTCATTGGATTGAGCAAGCACAGTTTTAAAATCAAAAGCATAATTTTGGTAAATGGTGGATGGATAAAACTAATAAAAAGTATATATAAAAGGTCAGTCTGGACAACTCCAAGGTCAAATGGCTACACAAACATCAGAAAATAATCAACACTCTGCTCTCTTTCTTGTCTTTATTGTTGAGAGAACTGAAAAGAACAAAGGGTGAAGAAAAAGGATGTGCGTTTCATGTCTCAAAATATCATGGTTCTGTGAAGGAAAAGCAACTTACACCGTAATAAATAATTTCAGATCTTTTTCTCTAGCTTGGAGAATATTTACTCACAATATTATAACAACCAAAAAATGTTCAGACTCCTTCTAATTATATTACCTTATAAATGACAGAATCTCAGAACTGAGCATCAGGTGTGACTATAATGAAATCAAGAAGATGCGAGACGTCCCTCTTTAATTTCACTGTGGAGTCCAATATTCAGATCAATCTTGCTTTGTTTGGTTCATTCCATTGCTTTGTTTTATTTACCACAGCAATGTATCTTTTCACAGTTTTATGTACTGGTCAGACTGGGGAGATCAGGCCAAAATAGAGAAAGCTGGGATGAATGGAGTGGACCGTCAAATTCTGGTGTCTGACCATATTGAGTGGCCCAATGGAATCACTCTGGGTAAGAAAACATGTTCATTGATTCCCTTTACAGAAATGGCAAGCAGCCCTGAAAACACAAAAACTACAATCTGCACACAAGGAAACAAGCATGTAGAGTTGAGATAGGTCTAGAGATAGTCCAACCCAAATAACTTTCCATAGTTATATCTCAGCCTCTATCTGTCTTTCATCAATCAAGCCAGCGAGTGGTCTCTGATTTAATAAGCTCGACAGTCTGGGCTGTCAGTACCTGCCATCATCCTTTGCAACTCCCTTGGCAGCAAGAGCAAATTTCTTCACTCTGCCCTTGCCTGAGGAGAAATAAAAGTGCACACACTCACCTCGATCAGTGGGATTGTGGTGTTGCTGGTACATTCATGAAAACAAATTATTTTTAGAAGAAGGCAAATGAGCAAGTCGACCCAGACTGCGTTACTCTCTTGGGGGAATAAGTGAATTATTTCACCTTGGTCATTTATAGCAAGCAGAGGAAGTGACTGAGTCAGATGAAGGAAATTTTTCTTCTGAAGGTTTAGTAGTAAGAAAAGAAAGTGTAATTTCTGTTTAGCGTTTCGCTTTCTCTGACAAGTTCTTCAGGCGTTTGACCCTTGCTTTTATCCAAAGGATATTTCAGATTTATGTAGACTGCAAGCTGTCAAAAATAACCTCAACATGAATGCCAACAGTAGAGCAACAGTGACCTTCTGCTGTGTTTGGGATCATTACTTGATGTAAGACTTCTAAATGTTCTTTTAAAGAAGGTCCAGCAGGACTAATGAATTTACTCAAGGTCACGTACTTGTCCTCCCCCAGCTGTGATATTACAGTCACATCTGTGTTTTCTCAGTGCTGGTCCTCGGCCGTCATGTCAAAAAAGATTGATGGTGTAGCTACTGGGCCATTACATTTGTATACCTCTCACCCTGCACCTTTCTCAGCTGACTGACCTTTTTTTCTCTTTCTCCATTCACTCCATGTTTCCCGTCCCCTTTTTTCCTCTCCTATTTGGTTATGTTCCCATTTTTTATCTCTTTTCTACACGTTGTCAGATTTGTCCAACAGACGTCTCTACTGGGTGGACTCCAAGCTGCACCTGCTGTCAAGTGTCGATCTAAACGGAGACAACCGCAAAGTGCTGCTGTCCTCCCATCACCACCTTGGACATCCATTCGCCCTCACTGTTTTTGAGGTACAAGAAGAATTTAATTTTAGAATGCACACAAATCAGTCAGTGGTAAATTAATGCATTAGTTTGGTTTCTTCTGCCATATTGGATAGAAATTCATTATAGCAAAAAAAGAGAATTGAGTAGATATATTTGGTAAAAATTGTATATTAATCATTTTTTTGTATTTAATGTGTAGGAAAGGTGTTTTTGGGAAAGAATTCTGATTTTCATTTACTTAAGAAACTGAAAAGTTTTATGCGAATGAAACTGGAATATGCTCAAAAGAAATTTGGTAATTCATTCCATGGTGAATTCAGAGTCACAATGATGTTCAGCATTAAATGTAACTGATAGTGTATCTATTGTGGTGAACATGAGTGACATTGATTTCATTCAGAGTAGATGGGTGTGAGGCAGAACAGCCCAAAGACAGAAGTGTGAGGATGAAAGTAAAGAAAGAAAGAGACAAAATGTTGTAAGTCAGAAGTGTTTTCTCCATTCTTCTCTGTGCTGAACATGCTGTGATGAGTAGAAGCTGAGGAAAAGGGAGGACATCCATCATGTCTGGCTGAGAGGATGTGTCTGAATACTGTGTGTGTGTGTGTGTGAGGAGAACTTATGTTTCAGATTGCAGTGAAAGTTCACTGTCTGAGATTAATAGCCTTCAGTTGTTCTGCTCTGTGTTCTGTATGGGTTATGATACAGAACAAATTAAAAATCCTTTAGCCATAGAGGAGGTTGCTCTGTTCCTAATAACTTTACTGTGGGACATTTGTTTCTTTTAGCTTGTTCTTTCTGGAACAAGCTGTGAACCAAAAAACTGAATAGACTTGTTTTGTCAATTTCTGCGTAAACAAGATATTTAGAGTGTTCATAAAGTTGGGAGACATGGAAGACTATCAACAGACTGTTGGACAAACACCATATTGGAGTGTATTGGGTTGGCTCTATGAGGCAGTGAGGAAAATCATATTGTTTTCTGAGAAATTAGCTTATATTTCACAATTTGCTATTGTGAACTCTTAATTATCTATTTTTAACTTCTGTAATCTTACCTCAACTGTTTAAAAAGATGGTCTTAAAATTAATTTTAAATTCTGAACACATAACATAAAAAAATACAAAAGTTAAGTCTGTCACAATGATCTAACTTTAGCAAAAAACAAATGTTCATGTGGAATTTGACTTGCTAAATTCATGACATCGGGGTCAAAATTCTTCATTGACATTCAAATGGTATTTTGAATTGTGCTCATTTAATCAGTTGCTTGTTTGATAAAATAAACAGTGGCATTTAAAAGCAGGTGAATAAAATCTGCAAACATTAAAATATTTCCTGAAACGTGTTATGAAAAATACTGCTTTTGTTGGGTTGGAGTTATTTTGCTCATCATGAGTGAATTATTATATAGCATTAGTTGCAAATAAGTTTCACCTTTTTAAAATTGTGACAAATTAACCAAAGTGTTTAAGTTCACATAAAGCATTATCTCCTTTTTTAGATGTGAGAATGAATGTTAGTTTCAAGGCATAGAGGTAATGCTAAACCTTTAATATACTGGCTTATAAACAAACATTAAAAAGGAAAAACAAAGATTTTCTAGGAAAGTCTTGATACATCATCCCAAAGCACAGAGAAAGACACACTCACACACACACACACACACACACACGTCTCAGTCAGTGTCCACCCCCTGCCCTCACACAGAGTCTTAAGGAAACACAAATTGTAAAGGCTCACTGTGTGTAATGTTGTCTATTCTTCTTCCTCCAGTATAATTTCATTACTTTCCCCCCGTTTCTGTTTTGCTAGTGGGTATAGAATAAGGAAAGAATGAAATGGGTTATTGAAATAAAGAGATACTGAAAATTGATATGTTGGGGAAGACGGAGCATGTGGCTACAGCGTTAGACAGGAAGAAAATTAGGATTTTAAACAGGCTTTATCAGTGCACACTTAACACCGGCCAGCTCACGTGCACAGCAATCCTTTTGCTTTAGCTTCCATTTAATGAGTCGCTAAAATTGTTACTGGATGAAAGAAACTATCAGAAAAAGCAGTTTCCTTTGCCCCCACCTGTTTCTGTGCAATGCTGGATAAATAAGTCTTTTTCAGTTTTCTATTATTTGAAGACAGACATGTTTGCCTGTTGGGAAATGCTACTTTAAAAAGTAAACTACAGGTTTTAAAGGACCACAGAGCCCAACTAAGTAATCTGCTAATATTTATACGAGTGATTATATAGAGCTGCAGAATAAAAGGTACAATGCTCTGCTCAAAAAGCTCCTAACAGTCTTTCTGCATGTAGTGAATGGTTTGTGTTTTTCTATCAGAATAGGATTAAATAAATATTACTGATAATATTATTATAATTGATGTTTACAGTTAAAACACACATTGTATTGCAATAAGGGTAAGTCTTAATTGACTATTAGTGCACTTTATCTTTCTTTTTGTGTTTTTTCTGAGACTGAAAAATTATCAAAGTCTGTTTTCCACCCTGCTCTTTAAAAATTCATGTCCACTAAGATGTGTTTTCGTACCACTAAGAGCCGGGGCTTTGACTGATCTGATGCAACATTTGCCTGTGCACACCAGGGTATAAGCTCAGCAAATGAAAGATTCACCTTGATCATACAATAAAGAATCACGCTTCTGAGGTTTACATTGCTACTTGAAGTTCTCAAGGTCAGAAAAATGACATTTGAAAAGACTGATGGCAGACAATGTGATAAAAAGAAAGAAAGGTTGAGACTGACAGTTTGTGAAAGGCGTCCACAGACAGAGAGAGTGATAAAGGGAGATATGGAATAAAATATCTGAGAATGGTTATATCACCACTGCTGATATTTATCTTTCATTGTTTCAGCATTACTGTCATAAGAGTAAAGGTTATCTCAATCGAAGTGCAGAAGATTGAGCCATGCAGAGTTTGCGGAAAGACAGTAAAGGGAATTCTGGAGAAAGGTTAAGCCCGCTGGTAATCCAGCACAAACAGAAATAAAAGAAAACTGCTTTGCTTGAAACACAAACCAGTATATAACATGGTTCTTGAATCTGTGTGCACGTTTATTCTTCCTATATGTCCTCATTGGACTTTCATTAAAATATGTCTCTACTAAACATTGCTTACTTTTAATCGATTGAGCATAGAATTATTATTTTTACATAAGATGAAAAAAATTATTTGTTTATGTGCAGATGAGTCTTATAAATAAGTTTTTCGGGTTAATATTTCTTCTTTATCTTGCATTCCATAAAAATGTTTTAAGAAACTCCATTTTTGTTACTTAAATTATATAATTATCAAAATGAACAGTAATAAAAAAAAGAATAAGATGTATTTCTTTCTGACTGTGTTTAAAATTCGAGCTCCACGTTTTTGCTTGAAAGACTAAATGAAAATAAACCTTTTAATGATATTTTAACTACTATGGTTTTCAGTATGAGTTCAACGTTTTGTCCTTTACAACAGAGCCATCTCATTTAACACAGGATCGTGTCTACTGGACGGACTTGGAGGATGAAGCCATTTACAGCGCAAACCGACTGACGGGTCATGATGTGGCTAAAGTAGCAGAAGATCTTAACAACCCGCTGGACCTTGTTGTGTTTCATGAACAGAGGCAGCCCAAAGGTAAACATTTGAAAATGTGAAGCTAATGATAACTTGTGTGTGCTTGGTGCAATGATAAAAGACTGTTAGATCTCAGCACAAATTGAATTTTAAATAACCTGTATTATAGATTTGACAATTAACTCCTTTAAAGAAGGAACAAAAGACTTAGAATGTCAAATGATTTGTTAACATTTTATATGACAAAAATCTTTTTGTGAGCATGTGTTTGAACGCTGCGAGTTTGCCAACAGTTCGTTAGTGAGTTTGTTTTTATTATTTGTTTTTTCCCCTCATTAAGCCCTCAAAGCAGTGTGTGCCAATTGGGAGCAAATTGCATTCTTTCATTAATAAATCAAAAGACATCCCAGAATTGAACAGGCTCGCTTCCCATATGCCAACAGAAACAACATATAAAACAGAACTAAGTAAGGTTGGATGAAGAGATATTAAATGAACTCTGGCTGCCCTGGAAGACCCGATCAGCAAACTTTTCTTTAAAATGTTACCTGACTGAAACAACATCTCATTTCTTATATAATTGTAACTCTAGGCAGTCGATAACCACTGCTGGATTCCTGCTGTTTCAAATACTATTCTCATTCATAAAATATGTTTTTCTTGAAGGTCTCTGTAAATTACTGAAATGCAGCTGGAACATTTTATTCTAGTGATTTTCTTTTTTTTTTACTAGAAGCATCTTCATTCTGATCTTACCAGAAAAAGTAAAACTCCCACACATAAGTTGGTTGAAAGACACCCTTTGATAACTACTTTAGTTTTATTTTGTCTTCTTTTATTAATCTCAACCAATATCAATGTGGCTTAGATTTAGTGTTAAGTGGGAAAATCTATGTTTAATGAGATGGAAGGCAGCATAGAAAAATGCTGAATTCTTTGTAGTAATGGCATCACTCGTAGTAATCTATAAAAGTTTTAAAACATTTTAACTTTAATAACAGAAAACCAATCTAACACAGGATCCTTGTACTCTTTTGTTTTACATCTTTATTCATGCACACCACAGTGTGCAAGATAAAAGGCTTGTTTGTGAGACTTTCACTTGTTTCCAACTTTAACATTGTACTCTTCCCGTGGATATGGCCAAGTTTAGATATTTTACTGTCATTTTGATTTTTATAGCTCAACAGCTGTTCTCTAGTTTTCCCTATGTTTAAGAGAACCCTAACCCAAGGGAAACTGGAGTGTTAGTTAAAAGTTTGTTGACACTGATCTAAAAAGTCAAGTGTGCACTAAAATTGATTTGATTTATTTAATGTGTATTATCATTTTCTTAGTTTTACACATGCTGCATCAACTTCTTATGAAAGATACTGTAAATTAAGCTTAAATGTGGCCCAATATTTTTAGCGAGTGACATGCATCCTAGTTATTCTTAAGAAGTCCTCATGTATAAAGCATGAAAATACATCAGAAGGTCGAAACAACCGCGACCTGACCTACATCAGGCGCTTCATCACAACGGCAAGCAGGTCATAAAAAAATGCCATGAGTTTGCATTTAGGGCTAAGAGACTTCATTTAAATATTTTATCTATGTGTAGAATACTTAAAAAGACAGTCTTTGCACATTTCCCTATACGTGAGCACTTTTACTCTGTCGAAGTAACATGAATATTTGAACTTGTTCCCATTTTCCTTTACTGACACAAACTTCACTACAATGTGTCAGTAAAGGCCCTCTCAACGTCAACGCCTAAATTGAATTGAGAAACTGTGGTATGACTGGCATATAAGCATTTACAGATTCTTTCCATCACAGCTGAGATTGAGTTATTTTGCAATAAATAGGTAAACAAAAAAAAGGTAACATCAGACGTTCAAGGCAAAAAAAAACTGCAGCTGTATAATTGCAGCAAAACAGATTTTACCAATTGCTGACTCAAGAGACCAAGAACATGAATGCTATCCATGGTTTTCAGATTTTTCTTTAAACTGAAAGGTAAACAATAATTTTTTCTCAACTTCACAATTATGCTCTCTGTTACTCTGTCGCGAAATGCCGATAATGTTTGGGTTACTTAAATTAATGGTTGTGACATGTAAAAATATAAAAAAAAGTTCAGGCAGTATGAATAGTTTAAGATTTATTTATTCTGAATTCATTTTTAAAATGTGTTTTTACCTCGATAGTTTGGTCAAAGTTGTGCATATATGTTAAAACTGTGAACTGTTTAGATATTTCAAAACTCTTGTGATAAAACTGTGATTTCAGCTCTTCTACCAAGTGACGCAAAATAAAATAATTTTATAGGTTTTAATTTATTTAATTTACCTTATGATCCATCTTTTTTATTGCTCTCTTGTCTCCTCAGCCCCTGACACCTGCAACATGGGCAGTCTACCAAACGGCGGTTGTGAGTATCTCTGTCTAAAGGCTCCTCAGATCACAGATCATTCTCCAAAGTACACCTGCGCCTGTCCTGATGGTATGGAGCTCGGACCAGACATGAGGCGCTGCGCTGTAGGTATGTCACCTCAAACTGATAAATCACACTATCCAGGGGGCCTCCTAATGGAAAGAACTGTGCAAGATAATGTCACTGGAGATCTGCACTACTGTAATTACAGTCACATCATGATGGAGTGTCTGCTCCAGTATTAAGCTGGTAATGGAGTTTCCCCTTCCTCATCATGCTCACTTTAGAGTTAAGTTTTTTATAAGTAAATGCTCATCTTTTGGCTTTGTTTTTAAGAGTTTCCTTATTGTAATGATAACAGGAAATACATCCAATGCTGTTTAGGATTGAAGGAAACAGCATCCAGTTGTCAAGTAACAAAGTCCTAATGAGATCCACTATGCTCTAATGTTGGCTCCAAGCAATACAAGTAATTGTATTGACTGTGATGAACTTAAAAATTGGACTCCTCCAAAGAATAGCAGACTATGTCGGTAAATGGGTCAGGGATTCTTCCTGCATGTCCCCAACACACCTCCATTATTTCACTGACCCTATTTCACAGCTCACTTCGTCCACTGACTCGATAGAGCCGCAACATTTGTGGGGTTGTTATCCTTAATGGATCCGCTCTGTTTTCACACATCACATTTTAACAGGTGAGGCAGAGGGAGCTGACTCAGGGAAAAGGGAGAAAGAGATGATTATGATGTATGTGGGCCATCACTCACAGTTGCTCTGGGAGAGGGAAGATGAGCACACACTCACAGGGCTCTACAGATTTCTTTTTTTCAAATTCAAGTATTTCTGCTGGGCTCTCACTTATTATACAATAAAAACACATTTGCAGCAATTCACTCTTGCTTGTTGCTTGTGTCCTACTTCTGAAACACTAAATCTATCTAAAAACACAAACATAATGTCTTGGCTCTGACAATGACAACATGCGAGAAAGGTTATCCGATAAAGTGACTGTGACTACAAAAAAGATGCAAATTTTGCCTTATGTTTTTAAATATACACTGCTCAAAAAAATAAAGGGAACACTCAAATAACACATCCTAGATCTGAATGAATGAAATAAATATGAAAATAATTTCCACCTGTTGTCTATTCCATTTGCACAACAGCAGGTGATATTGATTGTCAAACAGTGTTGCTTTGTAAGTGGACAGTTTGATTTCATAGAAGTTTGATTTACTTGGAGTTATATTGTGTTGGTTGAGTGTTCCCTTTATTTTCTTGAGCAGTATATTTTAATTTGCGAATTGCTGGTTTTGTGATGTAAATATTAACCAGTTACAAAAGTCAAAATAATATGTTTAAAACATAATATCCATGGTGCTAAGATCTTTGAAATTAATTGGCCTTGGCTTGTTTCCCATTCTTGGTCCTCAACGCTCGCTACCCTTCATGTTTTAGGTCCTGCTGATTTAGCATATCTGATTTCAATAGATAACTGGCTGACAGGTTTTTGCTGAACCGGAATTATCTGAATCAGGTGTTTCAAAGCAGGGAAACATCTATAACATGCAATGCAGATTGTCTCAAACACCAGGGTTGGGAAGCACTGGTGAAAGTAACTGGGATACAAACTTTCTCTGTAGCCTGCGTTTCTCATTTTTTCCGTAAAACTCAGATATGTAAAAAAGATTCTAAATGTAAAACAATATGTAGCATTGTTAAATGACACAATTAAAAAGAAAAAAAATATTTAAAACAATATTTCAAGCTGTTTAAGAAAGATATAAAGCAGAGAAAACATCTCAGGAAATTATCGTCCTTGAGGAAGAAATTTGGTCAGAAAAACGTCCTGAACAGCGATCATTGAATTGTTTGACCAAATCTAATGGAAGAAAGACAGTATAATTCAGACTATGTTTAACGGCGAAAGTAAGTCATTTCCATTTGCACAAAGCAAAGCGAATTCCAGAGATTGGAACTGAACAGCTCTGTAGCCATAAGAAAACAATTTATTATCAGGAAGGTTAACCTGAGAAAAATTCTAGCATTTTTTAAAGGATAACAAAGATTGGACTTTGGAGCAAAGAAAAATAGCTAATATGGTCTGATGAGTCCAGATTTACCTTGGTAATCGTTTAATTAATAAGCACCAGAAAAATCATATATATAGTTGGGCTATTCGTTAAAATTGTAGAAAAACCAAGATCACAAAGTCCTTAAACAGGTTTGGAAACCCTAGATTATTAAATAATGGCTGTGTAAGCTTCTAAACATTTTTAATTAAATTGGAACATAAGTATTAGTGCTTCTTATGACAACTCCTTATACATGTCGCTTCTTTTTGTGACATAATGGAAAACCAGAAAGAACCAGCAAAATATCAGAAAGATAGATGAGGGCTTCCACGTAGCTGGTTCATCCTTGGCTAAAATTAGGAGCAAAATGTGTTTATCAGCCTCAGAATGAAATCAAAAGACCTTGTGAAGATGATGGTTGAAGTTTGTAAAAGTGTCATTATCCACAGCAAAGCAAGTCATGTACTGACATGGGCTGCAAAGTCACTAAGAGACAAACAGCTATTACTTCAAAAATAATATAAAAACACTGTTTGCAATCTGTAAATGCCTAAAACAGAAAAAGTCACTGATTTAATTGTAGAGAGGAAAAAAAGTTGTCCCATTTTTATACAGTCAAAGTAAATATTTGGTTTCAACTGTATGCAAATGTCACTATAAGTCAGTTTATATAAAACCCTACTGTGTTGGTGACACATTTTTTCCTGATTAAGCAACATCATGTAACATGAAACTGCCTCTATATATGCTTATTTTTTCATTGTTAGTTTCACTGTTCGGCACTATTTCACCTGTTTACGCCCTTTTAATTTTGTGTTTTGAACAACTGATGAATATTACTTAAGCTAAATTATGTTTTTTTTTAAATAAGTAAAAGAAAGCTACACCAACGTTTCATCGTTATATGTTTATATATCAACATTGGCTGTTTTTTTTTTCTTTTTATGTCCAGTGCGAATTAGGACAACCACCACAGTAGCCCCAACCACCACAAGTACCATGACAACAACTACAACAGCCACTACAACTACCAGCCCTGCCACCAGCACTACCACCAGGACTCCCACCACAACAAGCACTACCACTTCTGCTGCCACCCCACCGAGGACCACAACCAGGCACCACATGACACCAAAGTCCCCTCAGACCTCCAGAAACAGCAGGATTACCCAGCCACCTGTGACACAAGCCGCCACAGGCACAGACACTACCAGTTTGAGCAGCACCAGCCAGACGTCCACACAAACACCCTTACTGGGCCCAGTAGCCCCAGACAGCATTCAGAGAGAGACCAATGCTAACCTCTCCCACAGAGGTAGGTGTAATGGTGAGCAGGGTTGTGTTTGAAGTGAAAGCACAGTATGTGTGCGAAGCCACACTATCATTACCTCCTGCCTTTACACCAGCAGGAAGCTAGAAACCAATATTTCCATCACCTGCCTCCTCTTTTCTGGCTCTCTTTCTCCTTCATCTCTCCTTCTGACCATCTGTCTATCCACTGTGTGACCTCTTCTTGTCCTCCTTCTCTCACTTATTCACAGCAAGTCCCTCCCCAGTAAATCTGTCAGCCTTCTTATTTCTAGTCCCTGGTCACCAGTTTCTAACAGAGGTGTCAGAGCTTACAAACGATAGTTTGCTGAATTTTCTACAGCCACTGCTCATCACTCTTCCTCACTTTGACAGCTTCTCTTCATCTATTCATCCCTATCTCTACTCTTCACTCTCTCTCTCTGCTCCCAAAATCTGGCAGCATTTTTCTTATTTACACCAGTCAGCATTAACTTGATTAAAAAACACCATTGTTAATTTTTGCAAAGTATTCACACAATTATTAGATCATGTGCCAAGTAGCCTTTATGATACATTTTGTAACAGTAGGATAATGCTACAACTTAAAATGCTTATGCAGCTGGAATTTTCTGACATTTCTAAACAAATTCATGGCAAACTGCTTTCGATGGATGGAGTTATGTATTCTAAAATTTCACATGTGCAGAAACGGAATACTAATTTCTTAGAAACCCTGCAGAGTTCTATTTTAGTGCTGCAGTATCTCATGCTATTCTTCTGTCTTAACTGATGAAGATTCATTGCCAGCCATTTGCTAAATCTGTAAGTTGCCTGACACTGCAGGGGACTTGGTTAGTAAACAAAAGGGTTAATTCTGTGAAACGCTGAAGATTTTCCACTTCTCAACTGAAATTACATGCAATATACTTGTAAAGGTCTTGACATTTTACAAAAGGAAATGTAGTTCTTCATGTTTTCACGCTACCTAAAAACAAATTTTCAATTTGTTAACGTATGTTGAAATACAAAAAAACAATATGACAGAGTTCCCGTCTTTTATAGTAATCTACAGGCTGAAATAATACTGTAAACCTGGCGAAGTGTTTTCTACACAGCTGTGTCTTAATATGTTTGGAAGTAAAGGGTTGGTCAAGGTTGATCATTTGTTTCTGATCTGCAATTTGCCTATGAATGACAAGACATTTTTGCAGATATCACAAAATCCTTATAACTGCTCTTTGAAGTAATAAGGATAATAATAATATTATTATGAATATTATTATTATCCTTATTACTTCACATTATTGAATAATGTGTGCTTTCAAGTCTAATGCTCTGTTTTTAGGTTTTTCATCCATTTTAGTTTTCTTTTTACTTGTGTTCAAGTTAAAAATTGGTCCACATTTAGAATCCTGCCACGTTTATCAATATCACTTTTCTCTGTTTGACTCAAATACAAAAACTGCGGCTTTCAGCTGTGGTCAAGGAGAAACAAATTTTAGCTATGCCTGAAAAGAGGTTGAGCACTTGGGAAAAGCACACTAAAAATAAGGTCATGAGCACTTTGAATGCAATAACAGCTGTCTGTGGACTTTAGCCAAAGGATAAAACAGAGAGGGTACAAGGAGAACAATGGCATTTAGTGAAGTCTGTCTGCATTGTGTGAGCTCTTGATTATTTGATTTTACTGTAAGGTTTATTTATATATATGTTTAACTAAATTAATTATATGAAAATTAACAGAGACATTCTGAACTTAGTATTAGATTTCACTGAAAGTACTGATTGGACTGGAAGGAAAGAAAGTAATAAAAATAAAATTGGAAGGGACGTTAAAGAGACGACAGATAATTTATTCCCTGGTAAGTGGGACTAGAAAAATGTGACACTGTTACAGAGATAAGAATTGATGGGTTGGAAACAAAGTAAGAGTGGAAGTGATTTTCTAGGAACTTGAAAGTAAGCCAGCTGCATCACTTTTGGGGCCTTGATATTCCAGATCCCCCAAGATGCAGGACGCTGTTTGTCTCCAAGTCTATGAAGCTGTCAGTTCTCTCGCTGCTCCACAAATGCTAATCACAAGAGACACATATTTAAAAAATGGGGCATGAACAAGATGTGTCTGCAAATCCACGAGCCATGAGTTATAATTTTCAACTCAGTGAGCACTGTCAAGTTTGCCAGCATTAGCTGCTGTACATGTGTGGCACTGGGGCAGACATCATCAGGTGTGGAAGAGACAGTAAACTAACAAATAATAAAAGTAGGTTTCTAAAGCCCACAGCATTTCCAGTCTCATAGATTATTACCTTTTTCTTTTAAAGTCTGGAAGGTAATTATTTAACCAGCTTTATCATAATAGAAATTCATTTTTGCTTGTTGTGTTCAGTCTTATCCTTACAAAATCTCATAGCAAGGCTTATTTTATACAGTCTGAATGTCTGTTATGATTGTTTCCCCCCAGAATTCTTTGAAGTCTGTCTATAAACACATTTAGAATAAAACAACACAGACGTATTTTCATACTTGGACATATTTCTAGGAAATGTTTTTGAATTTCACAGTCTTTCTGAAATTAAAAAATCCTTCAAGCAATTATAGTTTTCATGAAAGTGAAGCATTTTTCACAGTCTCCTATTGCCTTTGCTCTCCAGGACTTCCTCTTTTATAGCAGCTTTTTAATAAGATTCTATTAATCCACCTTTTAGAGTTTTAGAAACCCATTGGACGTCAGTCATACTTTCAGAAAAGCTTAAATCATAACAGCTGACTCAGGACTCGCCGGGTTTGGTGTACCTCCTAGAGTGGTGTATGTATGTGTGTACATGTGTCGGTGGGTTTTTTTTCCTCCCTATGATTACATTCATACAAAATAATGTGTCTTTCTTCAGTCACATACCATCTGTGCCTTCTTAGAATGCACAGAACTTCACAGCCTCTTTCTAGAAGAAGCCAATTGGTATGCAGAGCCAGCGCTGTGATCTCCTCTGCTAATCTCCCTCACTTGACTTTACTCTCGCCATCTGATCACACTTTGGCAAGCTGTGAGTCTGCTGTTAATAGACAGATTGAGAAAGGGGTTGGTACCAAAGCTCAAGACCAACCTGTTGGGGTAAGAACGTAAAGCATGTGGAGATTCAAAAGCATTTTCAGTATTAGACAGGAGCTAGTTACCTGTATTAAAGTCTAACAAAGGTTTACAAAGTCACAGTTTCTAAACTGCTGTTTTCATATCCTATTGTCCCTACATCGTATAGTTCCTAGACTTTTCTGGGCTTTTCATAGTGAGGCCTGCCTTCTTCTAATGTAAATTCAAAATTACTTCATCTGCTTTTCTTTAGGTCACTTTAAAATGTCTTCTAGTCAAAACAACTCTGTGCTTCCATGGCTGGTGGTCTGGGATCTATAAATAGGCATATTACCTTGCCAGATTGTTACACTGAAGTTGCTTGCCAGATTTTTTTTTCCAAGAAAGTTGATAGTGTTACTGTGCAATTTAAGAAATTCTGAAACCTTTAAATAGGTAATATTTAGACATAACCTAAAATACTGATAATTAATGGGGTCTAGCTTTACATGTCTATCTGTCTTTTATTCAATGCAATGTGAGAATAGGCTGTGAAATAATTGTGAGACTGTCATTATGGCTTCAGTAATAAATTACTGACATTTTTGCAATACATATTTCTCTGAAGTCTAAAGATTTGCTTAAGAAAGAAATCAGAAATCTTGTTTTCGGTTGGCATTGTGACATTACCAAGCACTCATGTTCCACTCATAATTGGCTTAATAGTCCTTGTGACAGGTTTACAGCACAACATAAATCCCTAGAGACACATGATGTCAAGTGCCTGAACTCTGTAATTCAGTCCAAACCTAAAAAAACTCCATCAAGAAGACATTCTCAGCCCCTCTCAGAGCAGCTCACTCGTAAGAGATTTTATTTTTTTAGTTTGCATCATTTGCTAAGATGATGCAAACTGCAGGTGTCAAGAGTAATTTTGTGAAGCAACAGATTTAGATTGACTGCATGAGCATGGAATCTGACTTTTTAAGTAGAAGCACCTTGTTTTACTTGTGTGACTTTATAAAGAGTGACTTTTAAGAGAAAAGATAATATTCTGTACAGTAGGAAAGCTTTAAGGAGACCTTTAGTCAAACTTCTCCCTAAAGAAAAATTACACATCATTATAACTGTTATAATGACATCTAAAATATCTACATTTTTTTAGATATTTTTTGTATTGGAGGAAATAAATTTGATCTTGTATAGTTCTGTTTTACAATAAATTTGATCTTGTATAGTTCTGTTTTACAGCATCATTTAACTGCCATACTGCATTGAAACCTTATTGTTTTACTCAAGTTTGTGACATTATCAGTGTATCAGTCCATCACTCGCTATTGAATACATTGATATTGTTTTGCATCAGCATTCTAAAAACACAGGCAAAATAGCAAAAAGAAAAATGCTGAAGGTCATCTGGAGTCTCTCAAGACAGTTCGAGTCTGGCATGAATTACTTGTTGCCAGATATATTTTGGAGCTGCATTCATATACTTTGTGATGCATTACTTTCTCATATTGCTTTGCACTCTTCTTGTATTAAAAAAAAGCTCATTGCATTTTTATTGCTTCCTGCTGTGACTCAATCACACTTCATTTACACATGCTGTTAAAAAATAAAAACAGTCTACAGATGGGCTGCTCGTCTTCTTGTCATGCAAATGTGCTTTTCTATCAGGTTGCCCTTCTGTCCAACAAATTCTTCTTTGAGATGTGGTTGAGGATGTAGCGAAGAGCAAAACTTCTTGCTGATTTTGCTTTTATTTTTTATCTTGTTCATCACAGCTGCAAGTGATCATTACCTCATAGGTAACAACATCACAGTTGCTGTTTTGGGAATAGTCATTCCGATTGGTGAGTACACTTTAACTATTCATATTGTTTTTGCTCTCTGCTTGCCTGCTTCTCCCTCCTTTGCTTGTGTCAAAAGTTCTGCAAACTCTTTGTGCGTGTGGTGTTTTGTGTCTCTGGCTGCATGCTGCATTATCCTGTATGTTTATGCATGAATGACAAGAATATTTTTCATAAAATATATCAAACACATAACAGAATTATTGAATATTTGCATCTGTTTCTACTTATTAAGCTCGACAGGGATTTCCGAGTATCAAATAATATGTTAACACCAATCAAAATGAGCTGTAATGCTAATGAACAACAGGCTCGCAGCTAAAGAATTCCCTTGTACCGCGGTACAATCATCAGTCAGTGAGTGCCTAAGCCTTTGAAATGTTAACATTATATTAATGAGAAATGGAGAACAAATTTGTTTTGTTTTTTTCCATCACACTGGTCCATCTGTTACAACATTAGATCCATGTTTCCACTGTGATAATATTGTTCAATTGCTCTATAACAATCAAGGGCTCTGACAAATTATCTGCAGTTGCTGAAATCTGTTTATAAATTATAAAAATCACTTGACTTTCTTAATTATAGGCATAATTAATAATTAAAATGCTATAACAAGTTCAATTAAAATTTCTTCTGTAAGGCACAACATATTTTCAGTGTTATACACAAATATATACATGCACCATGCCGAGAGAGATGTGTGCATTTGTTGTTGCTGTTATAACCTCACATTTTCTGTTGTTCAAGATTTGCATCTCTTGCATACAAAATTTGAGAAACTTGGATTTTTAGATTTTAAAAAGGGCAAATACTGGTGGGTAAAAAAATATCTAAGAGCCCTCTCCTAATTTTTGAAGATCAACACAAATTTGCCATATTTAAAAATAATGCTTGCTTCTTCTTTTTCCCATTTTGAAAAGTAGGAGTAACAAAAATTTAAAAAATTATTTAAACCATATTGAAATTTGGTTATAAATTAAAATGTATTTTAAAGTTATATGAGTAGAATTAAGAGGGCTCTGGTAATTTTCTCAAGAATGATTTGTTTTTTTTTTTTAAGTGATTAGTTCTTAACCTGCAATTTCACATTCACTGCATGATTTCACTCATGCATGAAATTTAAAAACATTTACTGTAAGATTAACAAAATATATAGATACATTCTCTTTTCTGTTAAGACTTTTTAATCATCCTCATTTGAAGGGTTCTGTGTACTCTGAAACCATTATTTGACTAGACATTACATCCTGATGCACATTAAAAAGAAAAACATTCAGTGAAATTATTCTATTATTTTAGCTCTCATTAAAATTAAGATAATATTTTCTGGAAATATTTAATAATTTCATGGGAAAAGGGCTAAATGGGCAAATAATGACCTTTTAGTGCCAGGACATGCTGCTAATTGACATCTCTTTCATTTGTAATTTTGAATAGTCACGGGAGCTCAAAGACTTTTATATGCACTTTTTTTTATTCTTGTTTTATCCTCAACAGTGGAAATATGAGCTCATTAAAAAAATAACCCCAGAGACAGTTAACCCTTTCAACCTCATCCCTTATTCTATCCTGCCAGTCGTCACTGCTACAAAACCCTCAATATAAATTTTTGGCATCTTTGAAACATTAATTATTGTTGGAAGTCCATAAGGGCTGGGATTTCAACAGCCCCGTCTCTGCACTCCTCCAGTTATGCACCACCCACTATTCCATAAGAGGGAAGCATACCAGCCCTTATTAAAAGTATTTAGTAGAAGTCAGGCTATTACAATGCTCTCTAATTGGAGTGAAATATTGTACAAAACCCAAAAGCTGATGTTTCGGGGGGTGGGGGATTTAACCAATAAGCATTTAGGCAAGAACAAAGATGGATTAAGTCACACTGGGATCTTTTTTTTTGTCTTTTGTGCAATTAGATTGGGCTTCCATTGGGGATGAAAGCACATCTAACGGTGTGAGCACACATATTATCATATGCAAACATAACTATTTTTCTCACACTGATTTGTCTGTTAGTTCCTCATACAAAGTCTGTTCACACACACATTGGTTCTGCAGGGCAGTTGGGCATTAATGCCAATATGGTAATGAGTGGAGAGAGACGGCGCTTATCTCAAATCCTCCAAAGCCCTCCCTTCCTTTCCTCTCTTCCCCTCTCCATTCTCTTCTAATAACCCCGTCCAAAAAACGCCACAGCCAGACCGTCTGCAGATACTCTTTCATTTTGCAGTCGAGGCAAGCACAAAATTATAAATCATAACCCAAATGGAGCACTAGGATAATGTGCTGATGACAGCTAAGCAACCTTGCAGGACTTTTATTTAAAAAAAACACAAGAGCTAAATCAATTGCCTCTAGTCTTGAATGCTACATGCTTTTATGTCGCAACCTTTATGTTTGCCTCTATTGATGTATGTGTGTGTGAATATTAAGGATGGGGTTTTATATTATATGGATGAGTGTGAATGGAGGCAGTGATTGAGGTAAACTGTGCATGTTGATTAATGTTTGTGTGTCATTTTGTGAGATGAGGGGGAACATGCAGTACTAGGTCCACAGCTTATTTCTTTATAATTTGCTTTTAAGTCGTCTTGAGTCGGGTTGCTAAAGTTTTTCTTTGGATTTTTGTTTATTTCACTTATTTTCTGTCTCTGAAATTGAAACATTTTCTTTGTTTAATTAATTTAACTCGTGACACACAAAAGATATGCAAAAACAAAAAAAAAAAATCACCAATATTGTCTTGGAAAAAAAAATTCAGACCAAAGTCGGTCCCTTTAATTTTTGCAAATTTTTGTTGGTACAACCACAAATTTATTACTTTTCATTTGGATTTTATTTTATAGAAAGAAAGGATCCATTTTTGTGGAATCAAAGGAACATAACACATTTTCTAATTTATTACAGAAGAGTGGCTAGATAGAACAATGTATTAATTGAACAAAATAAGTATTGCTTGCCATAGAAGAACAAGGGAAACAATGTGCTTTGGTCAGATGAGAATGTTGAATATCAACATCCAAAATCCCAAGTAAATAACTGACCTTGTACCTCTCCAATGTGAAAAACAAAGTAGTGATTTTCTTGAGCAGTGGAATAGAAGCTGGTCACATAAATGCACATCTCTTCTGTTCAGATTTTTGTGACCTTTTCCTTCCGACAAAAAAGGCACATATTTGTGTTTGTGTAGAACATAAAACACCAATAAACTACGCTGAGGTTTTTGGTTGTAATATCAAAAATGTTTTGTAACTGGTCTATATAGTATATATAGACTATATAAAGTTTAATGAGTATGAATACATTTACAAATTACTCCGTATTTTAACAAATACTGCCTAAGGTCATTCACAAAGACCTATTTGCTGAAAATCTTACACACATTACATTATCAACTAATGAATTATTCATCTTTATGAATGAATATATTGTCAGGTCTGAACCGGTGTTTATTTCCCTAATTCAGAAATACATAATTGTTTTTATTAGTATTTTTTCATTGTACATTTGCTCTGACAGTTCCTCTTTAGCCCTGTGTTTGTCTATTTTCAAGAAAACTCCAAAAACCATACAGAAAAAGAAAAAGCAGTCAAAGACTCTCTGGAGGCAAAGTATAAAGAAATTTGGGATGGTTTTCAAATGTTTGCACTGTATTGTGGTGAATTAAGTATGGTGGCTCATTGTTTTTAATTTTTTTTCCATTTTTTTGTACAGAGTTTAGATTCAATTGAGCAAATTTATGTCTGCTTTCTACTGGTGCAATTTTTGTGTACTTTTAGAAATTATTTATTTCTTGATTTTTTTTTTCAGTTTTTATCACAATTCTTGTTTAATTGGGAAAAAAAATACAAAATTTGCATTGAATCCTTTTTTTAAAAAAAATTAAAAAGTTGATTTAAAAATTGATGCCTACTTTATCTTCTCTATTTAATTCTGAAAAAGAAATAAAACGATGAGCCTTCAGCTGATAAAAGAAACAATGCAAGCTGTGTTTATGTTTGTGTTAGTGCTTAAAGCGCCGCTCCGTGTCCCCTGGGCTGTGTTAACGCTCCCGCCGTGTGTTGTTGTTGTGTGTGTGTTAAACACATGCAGTCCCTATCCTTGCCACAGTGGTCATTGGATTGCTCTGCACCGGCGGCTACCTGGTTTGGCGCAACTGGCGACGCAAGAACACCAAGAGCATGAACTTCGACAACCCTGTGTACCGCAAGACCACAGAGGACGACGATGATGAGATTCACATCGGCCGGCACAGCGACTCCATCGGTCACGTCTACCCGCCAGTGAGTGGCAGCCACAGCCAGCCGTTCATAGCGCTTCCACTAGGGGGCGGCGTCCCAGACAGTAACTCTCACTGGTACTCGGGGGCACCGATGCTTTCCAGTGGCAAATAAGGGCATTCCAGGTGGGAAAAGGAGGTCTTTGGAAATTTTTGAGGATTGAGAGGATGCTCAAGGTTCCCCAGTGGGAAGAGAGAGCAGGCTCGCACACGCACACTTCCAGATGTTTACATATCATTTTTTAGTCACTGAGAGCACCAACTAAACACACCTGTCATTCATCGTGCAATGTTCCTCACATTCACCCACAACTTTTCCAATATCATCCCTCATACCATTTGTTTTTGCATTGTGGTAGTTGCACCTGGTTGCAATTGTGCTTCCTGTCAAAATTCATCTTCTTTTCACAAAAGGAGTTGTCGAATTCAAGGTTTCTGTTTTTATTTTTGCAAATTAACTAGATGTTTGCCACTTCATAAAACCAACAATTTAAATGGATGATAACAAAAAAATACATTATCCAAACAATGGGACACCAAAGCTTAAATAATACTAAACTAATACTCAAAACGTACAACGAAAGCTCAAATCAGGACAAAAGACAGGCTGAAGCTAAATTGATTTACTTTCCCAGCTTGAGACCAATAACTAGTAATCTCCTCATCACAATCCACACAGGTAGCCTGTTGATTTCCTGCTTATGTGGATGTATTTCAGATCGATCCACCTCACAATTTACTGATGCAACTCAATAAATTAAGTTGTCATTCATTTCTGTGGATAAATTAAAAAAGAAAATCCCCTATGTAGACTAATACAGAGTAAATTGTTTTATGTGTTTGTCTATTTGCTTTGATTACGGAACCCCAAAATTTAGTAAACTAGAAAATTGGAACAAAAAAAGACGTTTTAGCGCAAAGTTGTAATGTCTATGTTTTTTTAAAAAAAATGTCTTGATATTCATTAAAAGCTTCCATCAGGAGCATAAGCTCAAAAAATTGTTGCAAAAAATTTAGCTGACTGTGCAGAGTGGACTATGCAAGTACTTTAATTGAAAATTGGCTGAAAGAAAAAGTGCTTGAAAGAAGAGGGCACAATCAACAGGGGTAGATACAGAGTGTTTTGAAGCAAGGCCTGTTCAGCAGTTAGAGGGAGATTCACAAAGCTTGAACTACAGCTATGAGTTAATGCTTCCAGGGCAGCAGCAAACACATGTATTGAGGACATGTGCTACTCCTGTCCCTTTGTCCAGAAGCAACTTCAGAAGCACCTTACCTCAGCTCAGTATTACATTTGAAACTTAGGTCCTAGAATCTGCAAGAAAAGAAGCACAGAATCCAAACTCATTGAGATCCAGTGTGATATTTCCATGAATTCAGCTAACTTCATCCTACAAGCATAGCGGAGATTTTATTCTGCAGGACTTGGCACCATCCCAATTACCAAAAGCACCAAGAGCTGCTTTAATCACCACAATATAAAGGTGCTTGTTTGGCCAGCAAACTGATTTGACCTAAACCCCAGAGCATTCATAAGAGAAAGATTAGAAACACCAGCATGAGCAAAGCAAATGAGCTGACGACTGCTTTTAAACCAACCTGGGTTTCCTTAACCCCTTTGTAGTGCAACATGTTGATTTCCTCCATGCAATAATCTATGCAAAATGACCCCTGACTATGTACTGAGTGTGTACATGGGTGCAACATATCTTCTTATTGTTCCTCTGTTAGTCAAATGTTTTCAGAAACTGAATGTTTGGTTTTAATTACCTGCCTGACATGGTGTGTGTAAAGAATCTAAATAATGTGAAATTAACTCTTTGAACTGATTAATGGAATTAATTAACTTCCCAAAGACAGTCTAATTTACTAGGATGCACCTGTGCAGCAAAAATGCATTATCAGGACACTCAGGTTGTTTATTTCATGTAGTATGTTTAGATTAATAGGAAGACTTCTGCTAAGGATAGCCAAAACGTAATTATTGAGAGAGAAGCAAGTGGTGTACTTTGATCGGTTGTCATGGTAACACTGATTTCTTTGTGGTGCTCTGTAGAGGAGGGGAGGGGAAAGAAAGAATTGTGGGTATCCCTGGCACGATGACATGCTAGAAGCATGCACACACACACAGGCATAAAACAGGTGCACGATTAAGATTCAAGGACAAAAGAAGTGCACTGTTCAGTGAAGAGCAGGAGAGAGGCGACTATTTTGCTCTTTCTAGCAATTTTTTAATCACTTACATACATAAAAATCTCCTTCATTGTGTTTGATTTTTACACTTGATCTCTTTCTCTTTGTTTCGTCTTCGCTCCTCTCGCCTCTTGTGTCAGGCAGGTCATGCAGCCCGAGAAATCTTTTTGGTAAAATATGGGCCAGACATTTGCAGCCGTAAGCAAGAACGCTGCATTCCTTGTCTACTGTACGAGCAGCCAGGGAAGGAGGGAAAGTGGAAGCTCGTTGGGGGATTTGGAGAAACGATAATTAGGAAAGGTCAGGGAGAGGAGGGGTAATTGTGAGGAGAAAGACCAGAAGAAAGATAAAGGTTGCATTTTTCTTTTGGTTTCCTTGTTGACTCTACTGTGTCGCTCTGTTTGTCTGCTCCCTGCTGTGGTAACCATCTTTTCATCTGCTGTTTACAGCGCGTGGCACTCAGTCTGGAGGATGATGGCTATCCCTGATGAGGGGGGGATGCAGCCTGCTCACCCCCCTCCCCTTCAGTCCCTTCCTATCCCTTCTCTCAGCACAGCCTCCGCACCACTACAATGAGGCCAGTACAACGCAGAGGGGAATGAGATGGAGTCCACATTTTGCCTCCCCCTTTTTAAGTAGCAAGGATGACTTACACATCTCTTCTCCTTTTTTCTGACTACTATTACTAAGTACTACCACTTTCATTAGTGTCAGTTTAGTAGCCTCTGCTCCACTCCTCTCTTCCTCTTCTGCTGCTTCCTAACAGTAGTGGCGTGTGAAAATGCTGCTAGACGATATCCTTCACACTAACCTCATTTGAAAATTGAAGGCAAAGGCTGGTCACCAGAAGTGGGGGGAAATGCCTCATGTTTTGACTGTTTTATTTATTTATACGTTTTAAATATGTAATCCACATATGTCAGTGTGTAGTTCTAAAGGCGAGAATACTTGATCAAGTTTGCATGTATACTCTGCACAGTGCAGCAGAAGTCAAGGATGTCATATTTCCTCTGGTTTCTTTAACTTTACAAGTTCATAAGCCTTTTTTAAACTTTGAAAGGAAAAGGCCATCTATTATTTGTACACTGACATACTGCGATGCTAAACATAGTCAAGGGGACAGGTGAAAAGAAAAAAGGGATGAGGTTGTCTGGATGTTTAGAGGTGGTTTTGGGGTGAAAGAGTGGTGGAGGCAGTTTTTCTATCTGGCTGATTTGTGCTTCCAGAAGGTTCTGCCCCAAGGAAAAATGCAGCAAGGCAGACAGGACAATGGATTGTGGGTAATCCCTCTCTTTGTATCAGAGGTATGCACAGAGTCAATAACGAGCTTGACTTGGCTGATTAGCTGTGATGGGTAAAGTTCATATATTTCTTACATTGTTCTGTTTGTGTTCTTTCTAGTATTTTACTTCCTGTGACTGCCTTGGATATAAATATAGAGCTGCTACTCAGCAATTATGCACAAAAGACATCAGTAATATTTTAATGTTTTAAAAGAATGTCCTGCTTTTGTATGTTAGGATTCTAGTGGTGTAATTGTACAGGGAAAGACATGTTTGAAGTCCATAAGTTTATCATCTTTTCTGTATTTATCTTCCATTCAGGCGCAGATAAAATTTTTTTCCCCTCAATTTAACGTGTCTCACCTTAAAGTTGATGTACTATACTTGATGTACTGAACTTCATTGACCCCATTTCAGTGGCTTCCCGGCACTTTTCCCAGTACTATTCCTGGTGTAGCTACCATCCTGTTAGTGCAACTGGATGAGATGATGCAGAAAAACATCCCACGTTTGAAAGACATCAGTCGCTGCTGTCACCGAGCGCTCACTCTGGTTTTGTGTGAGCAGATCAGTAGAATATCATGCTTGGCTGATCCTGGCACACTGATTTGATTTTAGAGATGGATAGGAAAGAAATGTGTGAGCTAGCGTAAAGAGCCGATATTCCATTGACTTGCCTCAACCGTGCTTCCAGCCCATTGAATCAGATTGCGTTTATGCCCACTGAAAACAGTAATAATTGCTCATTTCATGTTCCAGTTGTAAATAACTGCAGGCTATAATTATGGAAATGGAAAAATAGCTGTTACAACAAGCAACTCACTTACTCTGGACATCATTCAATCATTTGGTTCTAAACATTAAAGATTTGTCTTCCACCCCAATTGTTAAACAAATATTTTGCAAGTTGCTTCATTCAGTCGTCCTGTGGCTGCTTGCAGTATTGTAGACTGATATGAATTCATTGAACTATCATAAAAAAGATTACTATTCAGGAATTTTTTGTTTTTTCTTTTTTTTTCTTCAATGTTTGAGTTTTATAAATAACTGTTTTTTTTTTATTTATTTTTTTTTTCAATTGTAGACACCAACTCACTGGATTGAACCATTCTGCTCAACCATATAAAATGATAATAATAATCATATTCATTGTATGCTAACTTTGTTTTTTGCTGGACATTAATATCTAAAAACATAGAATTTATTACAAGTAGTGTTTGGGTTTTTACATTTATTTTTTGATGAACGACAGTTATGTTTTGAAAGAGTGGACAGAGCTTACACCCTTATGCTATATGCTGCATCTTCATCTTCTTGAAATACCTTAGTGAATTGTTTAAGCTCATTGATTTTGTAGGATATAAGAACTATTTGAAGATTCCAAAATCATGGGTCCTCCCTAAGTAGATCTGAAAAGTATGGTAAAATATCTCACCAGATTTGTGATTGCTGCTGCTTATCCATGATGACTATAAGGAAACTTCTAATTGGAAATGTGAATTAGTGGGGAAATGGTGTTATTGTGACCGGTACATGATCTTATTCTCCAAATACTTAAAGTGAACAGCGACTTTAAGAGAAGAAAAGCCCCAGGTCAGAGATCTTTGTAATTTCTTAGCCTGAATTGGTCTCAGACTTTGCTGACAGGACCCTGCGCTGAGTCAGCTCTGCAGCCCAGCTCTGTCCTTTCTGTTCATGTTTGCCTCAGGACTAATGCAGTTCCATGCTGAGAATTTGCAGTTAGGAGGATAAATTGCTTATTTATTTAGCTGCCTGAGCGTGACATTGTGGGAAAGTTATTATTGCTACACTGCCATAGACAGATTGGCTGGTTCACTTTGTGGTCACCTCCAGTCGAGCCGTCTACTCTGAAGGACGCGGCGAAAGTCCAGTCTCCAGCTTTGGCTGTTCATTTTATCAGGCAATAATGTTGACGTATAGGTCAACCAGTGACCTTTGACACAAAACCATTCCATGCATACATATGGGGACCATTAGGGCAAATCAGTGCTCAAATCCCAACATTATTCATAATTTCAGCTCATAAACAGCAGGCAAAGGTTATAAGGGTAATTTCTGCCGTGTGCGTATATGGTGTGAGAGTTGATTCAGTTATTATAATGTAGCCACAATGATTACATGATTTGTGTTTTTTAGGGGGTTATTTCATTGTGTTTTTTAGTGCAACCGCAGTGTTCAGCTGATTTAAGAAACAGATTGATATCTTGTGTTAAGAGACTTGAAATATACAGAGCAAGCAGCTTTTTTGTGCAATCCAGATTGGTTTTGATCATTTGTATTCATGTCAGAAGAACGTCTTGTTTTACTTCGTAGACGGTTCAATCTAGGCTCTAAGAAATTTCATTTTTATTGTTAAGTTGGAGGGGAGAACAAATTCCTATTTGCTGCTCCAGATGGATTCTAGGTGACAGGGTATCCAATAAAAGCCAGGCCTTCACCATGTTGAATAAATATTGTATAAACCTCCTTGGTAAAAACTACTAATATTAATATTTAACCTTTAATTTAAACACATAAATTTGTAATTTATTTTTAACAACTTGTAATGCATTTACTTTCCTTTTTTTAAAAAGTAGGTCACCTGAAATTCTGTTTAAAACCACTGGTGGTTTATTTATTATGCGTGTTGTTATCTCATCGCACTAACGACTAACTTCCCCTATTACTAATCTTAGAAGTGTGCTACAGGGTTGACAGCTATGTTGACTTCTTCTACTACCTTAAAATTTATTTTTTTGAGTGCTTTTGAACATCGCTCCTCTTCTTCATGTTTCATGAAATGGCATCAATCTTTCTTTTCCTTTTCATACTAGTGAATTTACTGTTTTTAGCTAAGAAACGGGGCATTGTTCCAACCCATCTTCATCTCAGTCATATGTTCTCCAACAAGGGCTCTCAGTCTTTTTGTTAACAGAATACACTGGAAGATTAAAACCACTGGAAGGAATAACCACGAAACCCCACAAATAACATGGAAAAGCTTCAGAGCGGAAAATAAAACTTCTTTCCTGAATATAAACCTGCAGACCACCAAGCAATCAGCCAGAAGAAGAAGCAGCCTCCGCTCCAGCTCCAATTTAGAACTGTGGAAGGAATTTCACTCCACTTGGCTGGCATTTAGCTCTCGTTGACCCTGTTGTTGACTTTTTCCTTAATCCACCGCTTCCTCTTTTTATTATATGGGGTTTTTGGGCTGTGACTCCTCAACGTCTGTCAATTCATTCCTACTTGTCATATTTGATCTACTTGATGTTTGATTACTTGAAGGGAAGTGTTCTGTTGACTGCGGTTTTCTACAAGCCAGTGTTAAATAAAGGTTTGTGGGCAAGAAGGTTGTGGCATCTGTTTCAGTTTGATATAAATCATTGCAGACACCTTTTTGTCTGGACATATATGTGTTAAAAGAAATTCTCCTGCTTTTGTAAGAACCACCCACTTGTATTTTTTCTGAAAATTGTCATCGCCTGCAAGGAAATGTAAAAGAAAATTCAGCATCCATTCCACATGACAGGCATTTTTTAAACGCTGTTTGTTGCACAAAACTTTTCAAGAAGCCTTCTGCACTGTGTAAAGAGGTTACATTCTTAGTAGAGGGGGAGGAAATAAAGGGGTTGTGGGTGGGGTGGTGCTGGGGTCTGGCAGTTACAGACCAATGGTTTTGAATCATGAAGTGTAAATAATACGTTTTCATAAAGCAAAAAAAAAAAAAAAACTTTTGATAATGTTTTAAATGTATCTGTAAAAAAGGTGTAAATAAACTTCTGGGGTTAAAAAGGAGTGTAGACTATATATAAATTTATTTGTACACATGAGCACTGGGTTTCTTTAATATTTGATTGTAACTAAAAATGAATAATCTGCCAAAGTGTTTTACTTTTTCTCCTGTTTCATTTGTTTTATTCTACCTTTTAACAGCAGACTGTAGTATTTAATTCTCTGTAATTTAATTTGGTTGTATGTTTTTTTTTTTAATGAGAAGGGGGTTATTTAAATTTATTGGTGCCTTGTTTTGTGCTCCTGTATACTTTCACTCTTTCCGTTTCTCAGTGTTGTGTGTCTGTGGGAGTTTCAGGGGGGATTAACTTGCAGGGTTGGTGGGGGGGGGGGGGGGGCTCCAGTGGGTGGTTGGTTAAAATCTTTAGCAACTTCTGTACTTACATGGAATCTCTGTACTTTATGCCAAAATGGTCTCACTCACCTTTCTATGAAATCAAACTGTTGATAAATCACTATATATTGATATATTAAATTTATAAAAACTGTCTGGACTTTCCCAGTTGATTATTTCTTTTTTCTGCATTTTCACATCAATATTTTTATTGAGTAATCGCATGCTTTGAAACAATTAACTCATAATCAGGGATATTGAAGAAATGTTCACAATATGGTGTTTGAACTGATGTTAATAATTCACAATTTGTCTGTGTGACATACAGAATATAATTGTTAAAACGATAGATTCTTCATTTTAAAACATAAATCCAGAAATCAAACATGTGGTAAGTACTCAGGATACTAGATCATCTAACCCTATTTTTTGTATGAATCCCATCTGGCTCCAGTGTGAACAGTCCGTGGACTTCAAGTGACCCACATGCACGGGAGATGTGATGTCGCATGTAAAATGATGGTGGGTGTGTTTACAGCAGTCAAAATGAAAAGCAGTAGCAGTATTTGCTTGAATGCCAAGTCGGTTGAGCACATTTTTAAACTGAATTGAGAATCTCTTGTGAGATTTGAGAATGGGTATTCATAATTGCTCTTCATCCAATATGACAGAGCTTGAGCTATTTTCAGGAAATGGGCAAAACATACAAAACTGCTATAGACACAGCCTACATGTCTTCCAGCTGCAATTGGAGCTTCATAATTTGTGTAACAATTATAAATATACCTGATGGTGTACCAAAAGTGTGATTGGAGATCAGCATAAAGTTTGGATTCTTTCCAAATTTCAAAGAACAGTGTATTGACCTTCATATTTGTTTTAATAACACAAAAGTAATTAAAAAAGGTCCGATGCCATACGAATAGATTTGAAGAGTGCTTCATTTTATAAAATAAAATGAATATGTTTTTGTCTGTCATTCAAAAATAACAGTGATTAATAAGAGCTGTGGACCAGATGTGCCATCTACCCATCACTTCTGCTGCATTTATTAATCTTTCCATTGATGTTTGACACAAATCAACTGACATTATATAAGTTACATTGGCAAAAAGGCTAAACTTTTCAGACACTGCACATCTTTTAACAAACCCAATGCTTCTTAAGATGCATTTAGCATAATCTGTAATGTGATTTCTTTCAGTGAATTTAATCTGTAAGGGTTACCATGAAGATTTCCAAACAAAACCTTTCTAACTTTGGGGATTCTGTCCTTTATTTTATTATTTTATGTTCAGTTAGGATCATGATTGGAAAAAGCCCAGGTTTATCCACCCTCTGTCTAGGTTGATTGACCTCTTGCAGGAAAAGACAACTAAAGTTAAAGCAACCGCTGACAAACTGTGCAGCTGGGAATAAGATGCAGTGTCCCAGGTAAGTGCTGAGGAGTGACTGTTCTTTGTTGGTTTGATGAATGAGGCACCATGCTGAGTCAGATCAGTGCATGGATTCTCTGTGCCCTACAAGCTGTTCTTCTATACTGAAGATAGTACTAACCATGTCCTGCACACAGCTTGGACAAAGACTAAGAAAACATCCCATTGCAGTTTCAAGACTTCAGTAGGGGTTCTTTAATTAGAATGGTGCAGTAATGATATGCTAAACATGTCCTCTTCTCAAAGAATTCATCAGAACTCCCAAAGAGTATTCCACAAATTCTGGCCTTTGTTGGGATTCTGCCTGCCAAACTGTAGTCTTGCATTCATCTTTGTCTTGTTGACCAAAGGTTTGCTCCTTACACAACTTGCATTATAATTGCATGATAATTATTTATGTAATGTTAGTTTTCCTTCTGTTATACATAAACAGAGATACTTTGTCACTAAGGAGTTTTGTTTTTATCTAGTTTTACATCTATGAAAAAGACATTGGAGAGATTGTGGTTAATTTTGAAAGTTTTCTTAAATAGTCTTGTTAGTTCTGTTTGATCATTTCACTTTATAACATTCATGGTTTGATGACATATGAACAATATTATGTCAACAACAAACCATCCATCATTTGTTGTAGTCCAAACAACGTTTATCACCATTACATAAAAATCCTTTTCAAAGTGACAGTAATTTATATATGTTTCAGAATATATGTAAAACATATATAGTCTTTGAAGAGCAGAGTACATTTTGTCAAGAGATATTCTAAGAACTTGAAATATGAGCATAAGCAATTGAACAGGTTGATTACTTTGGTGTTTCTGGTGAAGTGGGACAGGAGATGTAACGTCCAACATCCCATTAGAGACAGATGATTACTGCCAATTGAAGATGGATCTACTGGAGGTATGATGACCGAACTATTTGCAGAAGTACAATACTTTGTAGACTGTTCTGAATCATTAACCACATTTACATGAATGGCTGTTTTTCAGATACAGTTACTTAATTTTGTCAGGTTGAATGCAGTGTTCAGATTTTCTTTTTTTATCCTCTGAAGACACAACAAACAACTCTTAGGTTTTCTATTTCTTGTTGTTTATCAGAACCAATGATGCTTCTAAATTCTGTCACTTCTTTATACAGAATGTGTTCTCTACCGCCCCTGCTGTCTTGACTCAATACAAATAATCTGCAATCTCATGTTTTGGTCACCACATTTTCTGTTTGTTTTTCTACGGTGAGTAAGTTTGGAATGGTTCTCCTTTTAAGTTCTTTTTTTCTCTTTCTCAAATGAAATTGTATTTATTCTGTTCCCTGTGTGTGTGAGAATGAGATTAATGGCGTCTTTGGGAGCAATTTCACAAAATTCACAACTGAAGTGTTCCACAACCATGAGAATACACGATTATGCTTTCCAGCTCTTTCCTTCAACCACATCTTTTCCTATGCAGTCTCTTGTCCTCTCCTCCACGTTGCTTTTGGGCCATTTTATTACATCGCTCAGCATTGTTTGCTCCTCTTATTGTTGCACTTTGCTTTTGCTGGAGACCATTTGTTGCACTGGTCTGTGTTTCGACTTTGTCAAGGCTGCATCTAACAAGCCGCATCTGTTCTCATGAAGTTATCTTTATAAAGTCCCTGTCCGTTTAAAAATTCAGGCAGCACACGGTCACCCCTCCGCATCTCACACCTCCTCTCATGGATGACAGTTTCTATTATCTCCTGGATAATAAGTTGCACACATTAGCCATGGGGCCAGACAGGGGAGCAGCAATAGGGCTCTGAGTTTGTGTGTTTGTGTGTGCATACTTGCTGCAGTTTGGGTGTTTCTGCTTGAATTTGATGACTACTTTGTAACTGTGTGGTTGCAGCTTTTCATGTTTGCCTGTCTGTGTTTGCCTGCGTTAATGGATTTCTCCCCAGCTGCATGTGCACATGTGTCTGTCTGTCTGTCTAGCCACATGCCAGCACATGTGTTTGTGTCTAAATGACAGCAAGAGACTGTGTGCCTGCAGTGGAACTTACAAGAAGAGGAGCTGATGGGATAAGTGCCATTAAGGGATAATTACAGCTAAAAAGTCTCTATGCTAACGAGGAATCTCATCATCACAATGCAGGCAGACTGAGAGGGCACAAAGAAGCATCTGCAATTCAGACCAAGAGCTCTTGTGTGTTCACTGGATGTGGTTATTGTTTATAATATGTTAATACATTACCTTTCCTCTTTGCTTGCATGTTGCACCAGCAGTTGCGTTTAGTGTGTGCACATGGGAATCACAACGACTCGTATTCGTATTTTAAAAAGAAAACATTCTTTTCAGATGGCATTTGCCATGATACAGCCACACAAGTACACACAATACATCAGTTTAATTGTCCGGTGAAGGCTCAGTTTGAGTTCAGTTTAAGGGCATGCACTTCTGCACACAGGGATGCCTCTAATGGGTTTATCTCTACTCTAAGTCAACATGAATGTCTGTGAAAAATGTTACCCTTTTGTCTTGCAGATGTTCTATCTACATATTTGGATGAAATTAATTAAATCTAAATATCTGCTGGGACCACCGGTGAGGTTGCTTAGAGCAGGATATTCCACAAATCTGATTTGCAATCTGTGTGTTGAGCCTCATTTCGTACTCCCTTGGTATGCAAACAGGAGCTGATGAGGATGGAAAATCATCTTTACTCATTATCGTCTCTTTTACCATGTTGGCCGTGGGAATACTAAATGTTTGCTTGTGTGTGTTTGGTTTGAAAAGATTGTGTTTCTGTTTGTATTCTGTTTGAGCAAACTCCCGGTTAATTTCAGATGAGTGCAGATCTGCTTTGGAAAACAAATCTTTCTTGATAAAACAATTTCTAGTCTGGCATTATTAATCAAATCTATCCAAGCATGGTGGGTTATAGTAAAACCTTATGAGACAGTAAGAATTTGATAACAGTTGTCACCAACTTGGATGGCACAGTAAGTAATTAACCTTACAGTGTCCCCTTCCAACAAGATTGTTTTTGTTGTTCAGTAAGCCTCTCCAAAACATTCTTTAGCCTTCTTTGAGTCATTCAAATCTTAACTTTGGTATGTTTTCAATCAGTTTGAAAGTTGGGCAAATTCCTTCTTCCAGAACATATACACTCTGCTGCTGTCTAAATAGATGAAATACAATATATAAATTTAATCAAATGGGACAAGTGCTTCACAAGCATCAACAAAACACTAAAAATACCCAAAAACATCAAATCCTGTTACACATCAGCACAAATATTGTTAATTTGTAAGAGGAGTTTAGTATTTAGAGAGAACAGATGGCACAACTTAAAGTCAAGATGCGTCTATGAAGCTCTGCATGAAGTAATTTCATTGAAGTTGCCATCTTTTCTTGTAGCTTACACTTGTCCAGTTTTCACAGTCTGCACAATGATTATATCTACTTTTCATGCAACCAACAAGCAGTAAAAATCTAAGATAGCATAAGTTATGTGGTGTCTGTCTATTGGTTTGGAGTTAACGTCACAAACTAAATTCTAAAATTTTCTTTTATAATTAATTTATAATGCAAACCACTAAAAGTTAATTGTTTTTGATACATTTTTAATTGGATCATTTTACTTTTTTTTTGTCTTTACTTCGTCCTCTGAAATAAAGTCTCTCCTGGATGTCTGCGGGTTTGCACTGGGAATCACCAGTTACCAAGTCTTCAGCTTCTAAAAAGCCAAAATA